TTCTCTCTGTCCCACACATTCCCCCGCCCCCTGGCCTACAATCCTACTCATCCATCCCTCTCCCCTGGCTCTTTGGCCTCAAGGTCTGCTGGCCTTTCTCCCTCTGAACTTGTCTTTGCTGACTAACGGCTCCCAAGGGTAGGAATCTTCCAAACCCAGGATCTAGAGAGCAGGGAAGCAGGCAGAACCATGGGCTAGGCCTGCTGGGTCCCAGCTTTCCCTGCTTCAGGGTGTATGTTCCCAGGCAAACAGTGTAACCCTCCATGCCTCAGTTTCCTCCATTGTAAAATAGAGATAATGGGACTGGGGATATGGCTCAGGGGCAGAGCACCTGCCCAGCCTGAGTGAGACCCAGGGTTCCATCCCAGCACTGGTAAAAATAAAATAAAATAAGGCCGGGTGTGGTAGCATATGCCTATAATCTCAGCTACTCATGAGGTAAGAGGCAGGAGGATCAAGAATTCAAGGCCCACACAGGTAAGGCGAGTACAAGATACTACTTGAAAAACAAATTAAAAGCAAAAGGACAAAAGTGTAGCTCAAGAGGTAGAGCATTTGCTTAGTATGTGTGAGGGCCGGAGTTCAAATGCCAGTACCACACACACAAATAAATAAAATATAATAGAAACAATATAGTACCCCTCTCCCTTGAGATGGGTTGACAGGATTTACTGAAATCAACCTGGCTTTCTATTCAGGTGCTGGGATAATGAATAAAAATCAAGGCCATACTTGGGTTTGAACTCAGAGCCTACATCTTGAGCCACTCCACCAGCCCTATTTTTGTGATGGGTTATTTTGAGATAGGGTCTCCTGAACTATTTGCCTGGGCTGTCTTTGAACCTTGATCCTCCTAATCTCTGACTCCTGAGCAGCTACAATTACAGGACCCTGGCTGTTGAAGGGTTTTTAATCACTGATGGGACCAATGACTTCTTCCATCTTCATTTCATATTCTGAAATGAAAGTGCTCCTTTCATTTCAAAGGAGTGGCTCACAACTTTGGCACTGCTTTGTCACTGTTGGGCCCTGGCCTAACTGAACAGATCTTCACCAGTTCCTACTTTGGCTAGGCATGGTTCCAGGTATCAGGGATGCACAGGGAACAGGAGTCAGAAATCCCTGTTCTCACGGGGCTGACATAGTAATTGGAGAAAAGGAAAATGAATGCATACATAGCAAGCTTCCAGGTGGCAGGTGCTATGGGAAACAAACACAGCAGGTGAGGAGGGGTGGGGGGTGGCTTATGACTCTAAGCCATCAAGGAGTCAGTGACAGAAACGCCAAGCAAGTGCCATGAGGCAAGGCTTTTAGAAAACCTGTGTGTTTATGAGTAAGAAGGCTTACCACAGCAGCTAGAAATATGCTATTAAAAATGGCAAAAATAGCAGCTGGGCACTGGTGGCTCACCTGTAATCCTAGCTACTCAGTAGGGAGAGATCAGGAGGATCGCAGATCAAGGCCAGCCCAGGCAAATAGTTCATGAGACTCCATCTCCAAAATAACCACAGCAAGAAAAAAACAAACAAGCAAACAAACAAACAAAATAACCAGAGCAAAATGGACTGGAGGTATGGCTCAAGTGGTAGAGTGCCTGCTTTGCAAGTGCGAAAATCTGAGCTCAAACAAACAAACAAAAAAAGCTGGACGCCAATGGTTCACACCTGTAATCCTAGATTACAGGCTCATACCTGTAATCCTAGCAGAAATCACACCTGTTCCATGCAGAGACCAGGAGGATCTGGTTCGAAGCCTGCCCCAGGCAAACAGACCCTATCTTGAAAATACCCAATATGAAACAGGGCTCAAGTGGTAGAGTGCCTGCCTAGCAAGCTTGAGGCTCCGAGTTCAAACCCCAGTACAGAAAGAAAAAGAAAAAGAAAGGCAAAGTAACTTGGAAAGCAGATGAATTTTTCTAAGATAAATAAATGAAGGCAAAGAAAAAACTGTCAGTTCACCCAGATGTGAAACGGCAACAGAAACAAGTGAGACAATGGCAACCATCTCCCAAACCAACAGGTTTTCAGATAATTCAATGACAGCTGCAGACAGATTGTTAAAGACCTACAAAAACACCTGAGCAGGCAAAGCTGGCAAAAGAGGGTGAAAATGAGTTGGGAACAGCAAAATGCAAACCTGAAAAATATGCACAAGGCCACCAGCAATACCAAAAAACTGCACCACTGTTATGCCAAACACTCCCAGGGCAGGGGCATGTCCTGGCCCTAGCACACTGTGGAGCTCCAGCAACACTGTGGACAAATTAAGGAGTGAATGTCCATTTTCCAGAACAGGAAACTGAGGTCCATAAAGGTTAAGGTCATGCAGCTGGTGAAATATGGTCGAAGGATTCAAGTGCAGGCATCCTGGTTCCAAAGCTGGTAATCAAAACATTTGTCTTGTCTTTTCTTTTTTGGCGATACTTGGAATTGAACTCAAGGCCCCAAGCTTGCTAGGCAAACCTGCAAGGTTTGAGCCACGCCCTCAGTTTTTTTTTTTTTTTTTTGCTTTTAGTCTGGTGTTTTTGCATAGGGTCTCAAGATTTTTGCCCAGGCTGGCCTTGACAGAAATCCTCCAGCTTCTGCCTCCTGAGAAGCTGGGATTATACCACACCAAGCAAAACATTTTTCTTGAAAGAACAAGATCACAGAGGGACCTCACTCTTCTGCAGAGCTTAATATACACAGCCTAATATACACCACCTTATCAGTTTCTTAGGATAATCTCACGGGTTGGGTGTGCTCCCATTTTATATATGAGAAAACTGAGGCCCAGAGTGGGAACGCAAGGGCAAGGACACACAGCCTGGGCCTGATGCCAGGACTTTCAACCAGCTTTATTATCAGTCACTGAATATATAAACTCTAGAAGGCTTGGAGCAAATGAACCAAACTGTTCTAAGGTAAATTACAAAGTTGCTAAACTGCCCAGTGCTGCCCCAATGACCAAAAAGTTAAAGGGGGAAAAACAACAATATTTCTTACTCAGTTGTTAGAAATATCTCTCATTCACCAGAATACCTGGAATTAGGCCAAGTGAGGCAAGTAAATTATTTATATCTGGCTAGGGAGAGGAATGGGAATTGGGACAGGGATTGAGTTTCTGAGCACCCTCCCTAGGACTCAGAAATAGGGAATAAGAAGCAGAAAGACCAAAATATAGGGGCAACTTGCAGCCATGGCCATGGCTCACACCTATAATCCTAGCTTGTTGGGTGGCTGAGACAGGGAGATCACAGTTTGAGGCCAGCCCTGGCAAACAGTTTTCAAGACCCCCATCTCCAAATTAACCAGAGCAAATGGACTGGAGGAGTGGTTCAAGTGGTAGAAGGCCTGCTTTGCAAGTGTGAAGCCCTGAGTTCAAACCCCAGTCCCACCAAAAAAAATTTTTTTTAATAAAAAAATAAATAAAAAGAATCAGCCTGGTGGCTCATGCCTATAATCCTAGCTACTTGGGAGGCTGAGATCGGGAGGATTTAGTTCAAGGCCATTCCAGGCAAATAGTTCAGGAAAGGGACTCCAGGTCCCTTTCCTATTGGGTCTGTGTTCCTATTCATGTTCAGAAAACCGCACACGTGGATGGAGTACTTATTTTAAGCATTTTCCAGGAATTATTTCCCTGGATCCTCTAACCTCCCTATGTATGGTTACTGATTCCACTTGGTAAGTAAAGAGAGTCCAAAAGACTTGCCCACGGTCCACAGCAAGTATATGGCAGAACTGAAATTCTACCTGAAGGCTGCTTTGGTCTCTGACCCTACTCAGTATAAAGAGAGGCAACTGGATTACCATGGCAGAGGCAGATCTGAACCAGGCTGCCTGGGTTGTGGAATCCCAAGTCTATCACTGAATGAATGCTGGCTGACTTCAGGAAAGTGGCTGAACTTCTCTGTGCCTCCGAGTCCTTTCTGTAAAATGGAGTGCCTACACTTCAGACATGTTGTCTGAATCCAGTGAGTTAATACGAACAAACAGCTAAGTAGAGGGCCAGGCATTCTGCAAAGCAGTTAAGTGTTAGCTGTCACAGACTATGGGGAAGCCCTTCACCCTTCTGGGCTGGGGTATGCCCGGATCAGTGCCTGGCTTTGGACTGAAAAAGAGGGAACACATCAGCAGCTCAAAGTAACCCAGTTACATTCCTGGCATGGGGAACTTCCCACCAACATCTCTGAGTCTGTGAGTTACTATCCCACCAACAGTAACGATTTTAGGGAGCCTCCCTAAAATCTCTCTGTGGCATGCTCGTTACTCCCGATACAGATAAAGGCATTGAGGCTTACGGAGAGGAGCCTTGACCAGGTCACAAAGGAGGGATAGAAAAAGGGATGTGAACGCTGGACTCCCACAGAGAAAAACCACTACACTCTTTCAAATGCCACTGGGGTTGTGAGGGTGCAAAGGGTTGAATTCATGGCCCCTTTTTACCCTAGAGTTCTGTGACTGTCCAGATTATCGGAAGTCCCTGGCTGGATTAGGCAAAGGATCAAGTCCCTAACCTCCCGTTCCCCTCCACCCAGTCCTAAAGCCTGACCTACACTCATTGATTTCTGCCTCCCACCTCCTCAACTTGCCTTCCTGCCCCGACTTGGATCCAGAGAACCCAACCCATCGCATCCACGGATGGCCTAACCCTTGGAGGCACTTGACCCCTTCACTCATCTAGCCCTGACCCCCATGCCTTCGCACGTCCTCCCCAGGCTAACCTCCCTCCAAATTCCCCGCTTCAGGGTCTCTGCGTGGTCGACCAGCCCCGTCTCCAACTCAGAGCCCCTTTCCCTGTCTCTGAGCCCCTTTACAATCAATCCCAAAGCTCGACTCCCTCCCCACCTCCAAGACCCCTCCCCAGCCCCCATTCTTCTACTCCCTCGGACTCCCATTCCCCTCCCCCAAACCATCTCCCTGCGCCCAGCCCCTTCTTTAGATCCATCCTACTCCCTCTCTTCCCGTCCTGAACCCATGCCCAATACTCTCAAGCGTCCCCGGACCCCGCTGGGCTCTCACCGTCTCCTGGCGCTGCAGCTCCCTCAGCTACGCGGGTTTCCCCCACTCGCACCTCTCCAACCTCCCCTTCCGGGTTCTCGCCCCGAAGCCCGCTGGGAATTTGAGTCCAGGCGACTATGGACTACACCTCCCAGTATGCAACACGGCAGCTTGGAGGCGGGGTAGGAAGCAAAGCAATGGAGCTAAAACTCCTCTGGGGAACTTCTTGGCGCAGGCGCAGAAAGTTCGCCCTCGCAAGGCCGATTGGGAGATGTAGTACAGTCTCCCCCATATTCCCGTACTCTTAGAAAGGAAATTGCAAAGGGGCGTTGGTGAGGTGTGGAGAGTTGAGGAAGAGCAAGTTTATTCATTTATTTTTGCTGATTGGCACAATAATTGACAGTGCCTTTGTGCTTTCCCAAACATTTTCCGATCCATTTCTGCCCTCCATACTTTTACCTAACAACATTTTCAAATTTACAAATGAGAAAATAACATCAAAAGTGCATGCACCAGGAGCTAGTCCGCATCATAGTTAGAATAGGAGCTCCATAAGAGTAGGAATCCATGTGTACCTTGTTCAATCACCCAGAACAGTATACATACGGATTGCACGCTAACTTTTTGATCAGACACTCTGCAGACAACCTTAGCAAGAATTATCGCCTCAAAATTTATGAAAGTGAAGGCAGAAAAACAGTTAAGCTCCTTGTCCATACGAACACAAGGAAAGTGATTTAAACCGAAAGATATTGGACCCCAAGGACTCTACTCTAAACTAAATAGCTAGATCACCTCCCCTTTTAAAATACATTTTTCAAGTCTGTCCTCCCCCTGGACCATGACGAATGAGTTTTCTAAACTGTACATTTTGCCTACATGTCAAGGAACTTGCATCTTCTAGGAAGGAACTACTCCTAAGGTTCAATTCAAGGAAGCTTTGCAAGGTTTCCATCATCTAACCTAATGCTTGGCACACAGTAAGCACTGATTAGATAGGGAAAAGTGGAAACGGGGCAGAGCAGAGCCAGAAGGGGGAGTCTCGAGATCTCTCTCCTCCCGCGAGTTGGCATTTGGGGAGACCCCCGCCTCCTGGTTAGGACCCAAGGTCCCTAGACAGTGGGAATAGTCAGGAGGCAAGGCAAAGGCTAGGGGCGTGGCCTTCAAAAAGGCGGGTAGCTTAGTGAGTGCTGATTGGCCGGCACCTTGGCGCGCGCCGCGGCGGACGAAGGTCTGGTCAGCAGGTGCAAGGCTGAGGTCGTGCTGCTGCAGGACAGGGCCCGTCCGCCCGGTGCGCGTGCGCATGGCCACCTGCCTGCCCTTTTGACGCTTCCCGGGGTCGCTCCCCGCACGTGTTGGCGGGAACTGGCAGGGGGCGTGGCCTAGCCTGTGAAGCTCTGATGCTCAGCCACAGCCACTTGGCGCTCTGGTGCTAGGCTGCCAAGGTGTCGCCCGCGCGCGCACACTGCCCACCCGGGGCGGGGGGTGGGGACCCGCGCGAGAAGCTGTCCCATCGGACTCCCAAGTGTGGAGCTGGCGCGAAACCAGAAGTTGGGCCTCACACCATTTTGCACGGCTCGAGGCGGGTGCTGGAGGCCAAGGGGGGCTGGCCTGAGGGGAACCTGAGGTCCCCAGAGTGGCACTTTATGGCTGCTGGCCTCCCTCTGGGAGCTCTGGGGGGATCTGGAAGTCTTAGTTTGAGGGTTTGGAGTTTTGTTGGGGGGGGGCCTGGGTTCTGATTTGGGAGAATTAGAGCCTCAGGATAGGTCTCGAGCTTCAACTCTCAATGGAGAATAAGGGGTTTAAGGTTGGGTTCTGGAGTCACAGAGAATTAAGCTGTAGGGCCTGGAGTTCCCCCATCAAGTAGAGGGCTTTGATTTTAGGGTCTGGGATCTCAGTTGTAGGGTTGAGGTCCCAATTTGAGGAGCTGAGGTGACAATTTTAGAGTCTAGAGATCCTATTGGAGGATCTGAGATAAATTTGGGGGAGTGAGGTGTGCTTTGGAGGAGCCTGGATTTCATACTTTAGGATTTGGGTTTTCAGTGTTAAGGTTTGTGGCTTGATGTTAGGATTGAGTTCCTACGTGAGGATCAGAAGTTGGCATTTGGGAGTTCTAGGGTATCAGTATTAGAGATTAGGGTTTGTAGGCTTGGGCAAGTGACTCCTTTTGAAGCTCTAGGTCCTCATTTTGAGATTTAAACTCAGTTTTAGGGCTGGGAGCATTGCTCAAGTGGTAGAGCTCTTGCTTAGCATGCCGTGGGTTCAAGCCTCACTACAGCCAAAAATTAAAAATAAAGCCAGTTTTAAGCATGTTCATGTCAGTCTAAAGGTCATAAAGCAGTTTTCAGGCCTGAGTCTCCATTTCAGGGTCTGACATCTCACTATTAAGGTCTAAGTTCTGAAGTCAAAGTTGGGGAATTTACTGGCTTTAATTTTAAGGTTCAGACCTTGATTTCGTCTAAATTTACAACTTGGGATTCATGGACTTCTGTTGAGAGTTTTAGGGTTTTAATTTAGGTCTCTGAGCCAGAGATTGTAGGGAGTGGGAACTATATAGGATCTCGGTGAAAGAGAAGCATCATATAGAGAACGAAGGGTGCCCATCGTGTAGCCCATGAGCGCTCACTGATAATTCTCTTTCCTCTTTGCAGATGTTGGCTTACAGCAGACACTTGCTTTCTCCTGAACAGCCCAGAGACAGTTCCTTGGGTCACAGTGACAGGTAATAGCTTCCTCCAGCTCCCTTACAGCTCCAGCCACTCTGGACTAGAGAGTGACTCAAGTGGTAGAACACTGCCTAACAAGTGCGAAACCCTGGTTCAATCTCCACTACCAATAATAATAATAATAATGTTTACTGAGCATTTTCCATTTGCTACGGAAAGGGATAATTTGCCTATCCCTTTGATTGTATAGTATCTGATAACCCTTACAACAACCCCACAAGGCAGTAGGTGAAAACATTCTTGTCATGTCCTACCTCAGAGAACTCTGAGGTGATTGGCACTATCACCTCCTCAAAGGTGCTTACAGGTCTTAACGATCTGAGGGTGGTTTTTTTGTTAGGGATTTTATTTTATTTTTTTAATAGTGTTGAGGATTGAACACAGGGCCTTTTGTATGCTAACCAAGACTTTACCACTGAGTTATGGCTCCAGACCCTATTCTGAATTTCTTAAATACTCTTCCTTTCTTTTATTCATGCATTTATTCATTTACTCATGAAGCACTTAACCAGATGCTAGAAATGTTCTTGTTTTGGGTGCTGGGGATAGAACCCTAGGCCTCATGCATGCTAGGCAAGTGCTCTATCACCCTAGGAATATCACAGAGGGAAATTTATACAGTAGATTGAGGATTGAATGAGATTTATCCCTCTATCCAAAGTCTACATAAAGAAAAAACAGCCAGGGTTCATATTGTCCCCTACTGTCTTCCTCTAATGACTTTCTAGCCATCTTCATTCATTTATTTTTTAAAAGAATTTTAGTAGTGTATATTAATTGTACAAAGGAGTTTCATTGTGATATTTTCACACATGTGCTTTGATCAAATTCCACTCATTTATTAACTCCAAAATTAAGCATCTACTTTGTTCAGGTTCTCTACTTAGGTAATGAGCTCAGAACGAGCACCATGAAGAAAATGAAGAACATCTATCCTGTGGCTCATTCCTCCTGGAATCCCAGAGACCCCCAAATCAATCGTTTTCCCCTTTCTAGGCGTAGGGTCTTTATATTAATAAAGACTCTTAGTTATAATTAACAGAAACCTTTCTAAAACCGGTTTATGCATAAAAGGGGATTTGTTGGATCATTTAAACAAAAAATTCTGGGATGTCAGGCTTGGTTGCTTCCAGGGAGGGGAGTTAAATGATGTTATCAAGAATCTGCCTCTTTTAGCTCTACTATGGTCTGTGTCAGGCTATCCCTTTCAGAGGGCAAGATGGCTCCCAGCAGCTCAAGTCCATATCCTGCCAGTTTGACAACCACAACAAGAGAGAGCCTCTTTTCCAGATTGATTCACTCTGATGGGCTAAACCTTTGATAATAACCCCAACCGTGAGCCAATCTTGTTGACTCTTCTGTGCTCCCTCCTGAAAGGAGAAAGATGGGGTCAAGCTCTTTGAACCACATCCACTAAGTGGTGGAAAAAGGCTGCAGGTGTGGCTCAAGTGCAAGGCCCTGAGTTCAAGTCCCAGTACAGTCCCCTCACCAAAAAATGAAAGAGAGAGAGAGTGGAGGAGTACTTGCCCAAAGGACAATAAGGATACTGTTATGAGGGGTGGATTGGATACTGGTTAAACAAAAACAGTAATTATCAACTAGATGACTCTAGTTTAATACCCTACCCCATTCTCTAACAATCCCTTACCCTTAAATCGTTCTGACAAATGACTGTGTACCCTCTCTTAAACTAACATTTCATAACACTCTATATGCCACATACTGTGCTAAACATTTTCCAGACAAGATCAGTTCTTTCCTAACCACTTCCATTTTATGAATGAGAGGAAAATGGGCTCAGAAAGATGAAAGAAAGCACTTTCCCAAGGACACAGAGCAAGTGGCAGAGCTAGGATTTGAACCCTGGTTTGCTTTAAAAGCTGGATTTTATAACCAACCATTATGCTACCTTCTGGGATTGTGTCCTGCTTTGTCCCACTTTGAGACAGCTCTTACTTTTGTGTCTGTTTGTTTTAAAACAGGATCTTACTATGCAGCCCAGATTGACCTTGAACTGGAGATCCTCCCGTTTTAGCCTCTTGAGGGCTGGGATTATGGATATGCATTACCACACCCTATTCAAACAGTATTAAACTTTTGTGTGTGTGTGTGTGTGTAGTGCTGGGACAGAACCTGTGGCCTTGCACATGCTAAGCAAGTGCTTTACCACGAGCAACATTCCCAGCTGTTGGTTTGTTTGAAACAGGGTCTTACTATGTAGCTTAGGTTGTGCTTGAACTTTTGATTCTCCTGCCTCAACCTCCTAAGTACTGGGATTATAGGCATGTACCAATACATTCAGCTTTCTTAACTGTTAAATTCCTGCACATATTAAAGCAAATTAGGCACTTGGATTTGGTTTTTCCATACCTAATACGAGAAGTTGGACTGGCTTTTCTAAGGCTCCTAGCTCCTATAAAATACAGTAATACAGTAACTAGAGTGTGTTTAGACTAATAAGCTCAGAGAAGAAGAAATTCAGAGGTTAGAGTCATTTACTACTTCAAAAATCTGAGAAGCCACTATAAGATAAAAGTAATAGTTACTGCTTAACTTTTTTTTTCGGTGGTGGGGGGCTGTTGTACTGGGGATTAAGGCCAGGGCCTTGAGTTTGTATCATTTGAGCCACACCCGAAGTCCTTTTGCTTTTAGTTTATTTTTCACAGTCTCACACTTTTGTCTAGTCTAGCCATAGACTGCAAGCTTCCTAAACCCATGTTCTTGAGTAAGTGATATTTTAGGCATGTATCACCATGCACAGCTACTTAACAATTTTTTTGTTGAGTACATACTAAATGTCAGGCATTACTCTAGGAGTGAGGGATACAGCCAGGGTTGCATTTATAACTCTCATAAACTCTAGGTAATTTTCCTTTCTTGGTCCCCTTCCTCTATTAAAAAGATGATAGCATTAATATAAATAAATGACAAACATTATAAATGATAGGTTTGGTTGTATTCATTTTTTTCTTCCAGTTACTTCTACTAAAAGAAATTAAAGCATTTTCATGAACCCCTAAAAATATCACAGGCCCTAGACTTCTTACTGCAATTAATGCATTTGCTTACTACAATTAATAGATAAGTCAAATAATATGCTTATTTAGATTGTGTGGTCACAAAAGGCCCTCTCTGAGGAGTTTACATTCAAGCTAAATGAAAGGTAAAGAAAAAAAACAGCCATGCAAAAATCAGGGCAAAAGAACATTCCAGGCAGAAGGACTAGTAAAAGCCCTAAGAAGGAAATAAACTTGGCAGTTTAGATGGACAGAACAGGGACCCATGTGACTAAAGTTGACTTGCTTCCTGTAAATTCAGAAGGCAGAGCTGGAATTTAGTGGGTGAAATTATAGAGACTGTGAGGAAAGAAATTAGCAAAAGCCAGAAGCATCCAGGAAAAATAGGCACCTTGGAAGGGAGCACCTCGGTCCAGAGGCCTCTGAGAGCAGAGTCTTGTTGTATCTTTTCAGAAACTACCACCTGTGGGAGGGGGTGTCAAGATTTTGAGATTCTTAGTCACTCTGTTGATTTTTTTCCTGACTCTTTCATATAGAGCTTCTGTTTGCCCAGAAAGTTCTACTGGGATTTTATAGTTGATGTGAAACCCTCTTTGACATAGCCAAATAACACCTTAAACTTGAATAGACATGGAAGCCTTTTCTTTCTTGCTTCCTGTGTTATTTCTCCCCAGGGCTTCCAAGGGCCCCTCTAGGACAGAAGGAAGGCAGTAGGCAAAAAATAAATATCAAGGCCATATAGGACTTTAGAGATCTAATTAAATTTTTTGGTGGTGCTGGAGATTGAACCCAGGGCTTCATACAGGGAAGCACCAATTTTCCGAGAACAGAGTCCCTAGCCAGGTAGTGAAACTCTGTAATCCCAAGGACTCAGGAGATGGAAGTAGGAGGATCAGGGTTTGAGGTCTGCCCCAGGCAAAGTTAGCTGAAGATCCTATCTGAAAAAAAAAAAAAAACACACAAAAAACGGGGTGTGGCTCAAATAGTAGAGCACTTGCCAAGTCTCAGCCTCAACCAGACTGTATTTTTCTCCAGCCTGTGTGATGCCACAGGTTTGTGTGAGAGTTTGATTAATGACTTTATCCATGACTCTACTGTCAGCTCCAGATGAAGGGGCTGTATTTGTTCTTTATACTTTTATCTTTTTCGTCTATCAGAGTTCCTGGCACATAGCAGGTGCTCAATACATTGCTGAGTGGGAAAGATTCTTTTTTTTTGTTTGTTTTTTGCAGTGTTGGGGATGGAACCCAGGGCCTTCTGCATGTTTGGTAATGCTCTACCACTGAGCCACATCCCCCAGCCCAGAAAGATTCTTTTAGGAAATTGGACCTTGGTTAGGAAGATGGGCGTGTCTTCCACAGTGCCTCCCATCCCCTTGAAGGAGGTTGCTGCATAAGCCCTCTTCCTCTCCATGGTGTCCAGCACAGGTCCTGGCAGAGGAGATGTCACTGCAGGATGTGAGTGAATTGGAGCTAAACATAGATCTGTATTTGAGGGAGTGTTTTTGGCATGGCCTTAGCACAGGTGACACAAAGTGGAGGAGGAAGGAAAGGAGGTAGCAACTGAAATGGGCTATGAGGAAGGTATGACAAGGACAGGTGTTGATGGAGGTGTTCGGGAAGCCCCAAAGGAACCCTCAAGCAGCAGCAGTCATTGGGAGAGGGACTCCAGTATCTTTGTGTCTCCATCTGTTAAGAGAGAGGGGTAGAGGTTGTATGTGTATGTGAGTAGAAGATGAATCATAAATTCAGGAATTAGGCTCTGGAAGTTCTGCAGCTGCTTCTCAGTCATCTCTTTTCATGCCCTTATTTATTCATTCATCTAGAAAATACACAGTGAGTTCCTGCAATGTGCAGACCCTGTGCTAGGTGCTAGAAATACATTGGTGCCCCCCACCCAACTGGCGCATGGGTCACAGATGTGTGTGAGCACAGGAACTGGGAGCTTAGCAACAGTGCCTCACCTACCTTGTGGAATGAGGGCCATCTGATGTGAGGGAGCCAAAGGGCAGGATCAGAGTGGTCAGCTAGGCCAGGCCAGACCAGGAATAAATTTGATCCATAAAATGTGGTGACTGCCAGGTGCCAGTGGCCCATGCTTGTAATCCTAGCTACTTGGGAAGCAGAGATCAGGAAGGTCATGGTTCAAGGCCAGCCTGGGCAAATAGTTTGTGAGGACATATCTCCAAAATAACCAGAGCAAAATGGACTGGAGGTATGGCTCAAAGCCCTGAGTTCAAACCCCAGTCCCGCAAATTTTTTTTTTTTAAGTGACAAGGAATACTTACCTGGCAGGGGAGATACCATGATCATGAAGGTGGTTTTCCCAAGGCGAGGCTTATCCATTGCACTCCGAAGTGCTGACCCCTGCGATTTCCCCAAATATGGCAAACTCAACTGCATAATTTGTGGTAGTGGGGGACTGCGTTCATGCTTTCCCCTGGGGAAAAAAAAAGAAATAAGAAATAAAAAAATGACAAGGAGGTTTCTCTGTTTTGTTTTTTTCTTTGGTTTGGCAGTATTGGGATTTGAACTCAGGGCTTGCTAGGCAGATACTCTCCACTTGAACCACTCTGCCAGCTCTTGCTTTAGTTATTTTTCAGATAGTCTCACATGTCCCCAGACCACAATCTTCTTATCTACACCTCCAGCCTAGCTGGGATGACAGGCATGTGTCACTGTGCCCTGCTTATTTTGCTGAGACTGCATCTTGCTAACTTTTTGCCCAGCATGGCCTCGAACATCAGTTCTCCTGGTCTCTGCCTCCTGAGTAGCTGGAATTACAGTGATGATGAGGGATTTGAAGCAAGGAAGTGATGTGGCCAGATTTGTGTTTCAAAACGCTCACTATGCCTTTAGTAGAGAGCATAAATGGGAAGCTGGGAGATCTGTGAGGATAGCCCTGACTTGGGGACACTGAGACAGGAGGTTTGGGGGTCAGATGCCAAATTCAATTTTGGATGTCTTAACCCAAATCAGCTGTTGTCCCCAAACAGGAATGAGAAGAAAAACCACACGAGCAAACTACATGACCTGGCATTGCTGCTCCCTGTGTCCCTGAAGAGTGGAATGAAGAAGCTTACTAAGGTTCAGGGACTGAAGGAGGGGGTGGGCTGGGGTGGCAGGGCTCCACAGAGTAGTAAGTGGGGACCTAGCCTGGGAAATCTAGACAAGCCCTCTCAGGGACAGCATTGGAATGGGAGTGGCCTTCTCTGAATGGGTATTTATGGGTGTGTGATCCCATGACAAGAAGCCCAGGGATTCTTTTCTTCTTCCTTTTTTGTGGTGCTGGGGATGGAACCCAGGGCCTTACCCATGCTAGGCAAGTGCTGTACCAGTGAACTGTATCACAAAAGATAGAGTCAAACCCTGGATTTGAGGCCTCTGGCTTCACAGCTGCAGAATTCTAGGCAGTTCCTTAGACTTCTCAACATGTCCAAGCCTCTGCTACACAATAACAAAAGAGAACTCCTGCTACCCAGAGGCTTTGTGATACCAAAATGACTTAATGGCAATGACATACACCACACTTAGTATGCCCTGAATAAGTGTCAATTCCCTCTTCTGGTCTCTCATTTGGGAACATCAGTGAGGTAGATTCTAGGTAAGGTTTCTCTAGTTTAGCTACGCAATAAACGGATCCAGTGCCAAGCTAGCACCTTGGTCCCTCATGTGGGAATAATTTCATGTGCGACTCAGAGATCTTGCATGGAGGCATGGAGGAATGTACTCTTGCCCTGTTTCCTTTCGTTTGTTTAGTTACTCATTCAGTCATCAGCCTTTTATAGAAAGGTTGTTGGATGCCAGAGCTGTTTTGGTTGCAACAAGGGAGGCAAAGAAATTTGGGATCTAGCCGGGTGCTGGTGGCTCACGCCTGTAATCCTAGCTACTTAGGAGGCAGAGATCAGGAGGATCTTGGTTCAAAGCCAGCTTAGGCAAATAGTTTGAGAGAACCCGTCTCAAAAATACCCAATGCACACACAAAAGAGGGCTGGTGAGTGGTTCACATGGTAAAGTGCCTGCCTAGCAAGCCTGAGGTCCTGAGTTCAAACCCCTGCGCTGCCAAAGTATATATATATATTTTTTTTCCAAGTCAGGCCCCCTAGCCACAGTTAAGGCATCGGCAGGGCTGCTTCCTGTTAGAGGATCCTGGGGAGCATGCGTGGCCTTTCCCTTTGCCAACTTTTAGAGGCTGCCTACGCCCGTTGGCTCACAGTGGCACATTGGAAACCAGCCTATGACATCTTCAGATCTCCTCTTCTACCACTTGTTGCCATCTTGCATTCTCTGCCTTTGACCCTCCTGTCTCCCTCTTATAAAGATCCTTACAATCCAGATCCCAGTGACTCACTCCTGTAATCCTAGGTACTTGGGAGGCTGAGATGAGGCTAAGATCAGAAGATCAAGGTTTGAGGCCAGCCAGGGCAAATAGTTTAGGAGACCCCCATCTCCAAAATAACCAGAGCAAAATGGACTGGAAGAATGACTCAAGCCATAGAGCATCTGCTTTTCAAGTGTGAAGCTCTGCTTTCAAATCCCAGTCCCACCAAAAAAAACAAAAAAAAAACCAAAAAGATTCTGATGTTTCTTTTGGGATCATTGGATACCCCAGAGTAATCATTCCATCTGCAAAGATATGATATTATCATATTTAGATATGGGCTCTTGGAGAAATTCTTTTCCTATGTCCTCAGACATTTGCACATTTGGTATGCATCGGTGCTGTAATAGGCTCTTGGGGAACCAGAGATGATAAGGACATGGTCCCAGCCCTGAAGGAATGACAGTCTGTCCAAGGGACAGGCAACATGTCGTAAGTGATTAGATGACCACATCCCTTGGAATTCTCTCTGGGTCTTAGCCTACTTTTTTTGTTTGTTTGTTTTCTGGCAGTCCTAAGTCCTAGTGTTTGAATTCAGATCCTTGTGCTTGCTAGGCAGGCACTCTACCATTTGAGCCCCATCTCCATCTTGATACTCTTTTTTGTGTGTGTGTGATACTGGAGTTTGAATTTAGGGCCTCATGCTTGGTAGACAGGCACTCTTACCACTTGAGCCACTCCACCAGCCCTTTTTTGTGATGTGTTTTTTGATGTAGGGTCTCCTGAACTATTTGCCGGGGCTGACTTTGAACCGTGATCCTCCTGATCTCTGCTTCCTGAGTAGCTAGGATTACAGGCGTGAGCCACCCGTACCCAGCGTCTGATACACTCTTATTTAGTGAGAGTTGTGAGAGATGTAGGGTAGGCTCACTGTTTGGTTTAAGGAGATTAAAGTGCCCAGTTGGGCCATGGCAGAGAGAGAGATAAGGAGAGGGGGAGGGAGAGAGGAGATACAGGAAGAAAGAGGTGTATCTCAATCCAAAGGCCTGTGCTTTCAACCACTCTGTCACTCAGTGCTCACTAGGTGTTTGTTGAATGACTAAATGAAATCCCTGTCCATCTTACTTTCAGAAGGTCTCTGGGAACCAGGCCTCTGTGGCTCATGCCTGTAATCCTAGCTACTCGGGAGGCTGAGATCTGGAGGGTCAAGGTTTGAGACCAGCTTAGGAAAATAGTTCTCAAAACTCCATGTCCAAAATAACTAGAGCAAAAAGGACTGGAGGTGTGGCTCAAGCAGTAGAGCGCCTGCTTTGCAAGTAGGAAGCCCTGAGTTCAAACCCCAGTTCCACCAAAAAAGAAAAAAAGTCTCTGAAACTTGAACCTCAGGTGTAGCCATCAAGTTCATGTTCCTGCAGTGTCAGCTACTACAGTGTCCAGCAATCAGGGACAGTGCCCAGTTGCCTTCTGCACAAAACCTTTACATTTCACAGTTACAAAAACTTCATCTTAGTGATTGCTAATCATGTGCCAAGCCTGACATTAGAGATTTTAAGCTGAAAAAACAAATGGTATCTGTTCTTGAAAAACCCACGATCAGGGATCACTTCCTCATGTAATCCCTCGAGACCCTGTGAAGGTGATCTCATTCAATCAGTGTTTTTGTTTTTTTTTTTAACTTGCGGTCGTAGGGATGGAACCCAGGGCTTCAAACATGCTAGGCAGGCACTCAGTTACTTGAGACACACATCTAGCCCTTGTTTATTTATTTTTTGGATAGGGTCTTGCATTTTGTCCTGGAGCTGGCCTCAGACCTTGGTCCTTCTATAAATGGCCGCCTGTGTAGCTGGAATCACACAAGATGATTGAGATGGGGTTTCTCTAACTTTTTGTCAGGCTGGCTTTGAATCTTGAATCTCATGATCTCTGTCTCCCAAGTAGCTGGGATTACAAGAGTGACTTACTGTGCCCAGCCTAATTCAGTTATTGACTGAGTGAATATTCATTAGGCAACTGACCTATCAGATTCTGCTGGGCGAATTCGCACACACAAATTTATTTAGTCCTAATAATAATCCTCTGAGCCTAAATGATATATACTTGTTCCCATTGCTCAGATAACAAAATCAACATTTGAAGAGGTTAAAAAAAAAAAACCAAAAAAACCTGCATTTTATACACAGCAAGTAAGTGGCAGATTGGATCTGTGTTTTTATGGGGTTTTTTTGTTTTTTTTTTTTAGACAAGGTCTCAATATATAGCCCAGTCTGGCCTCAAACTGGAGATCCTAGCCAGCGCTGGTGGTTTACACACCTGTAATCCTAGCTACTCAGGAGGCAGAGATCAGGAGGATCAAAGTTTGAAGCTGGCTCAGGCTAATAGTTTGAGAGACCCTATCTCAAAAAAAAAAAAAATCACAAAAAATGGCTGGTGGAGTGGCTGAAGATGTAAGGCCCTGAGTTCAAACCCCAGTTCAGAAAAAAAAGCCCCAAAAAACCCTGGAGATCCTTTTGTCCCTTCTGTGTCTGCCTCCTGAATTGGTGTTATAGGCAGGCATGCCAGCTAGGTCCTTTAAAATTATTGTTCTCTTGAGTATGTCACAAGTATTTCTTAAATAATTAGGTTATAGCTTCCTTCTGTGGGTCATACACATTTCAGTGACCGTCTGTCTGTTTGTGCTGTATTTTATGGAGCTGTTTCACATAAATGTCTTCATGAGACACTGTTTCCTGACTTGGGATTTGGAAGATTATTGCTGTTTTATTTTCATTCTGTGGATCCAGTCTGATTAAAAGCACACTGATGTTCTTCCCTCACCTTTTTTTGTTGTTGTTGTTGGTGGTGGTGGTGGTGTTTGTTTTTGAAGCAAGCTCTTGCTATGCAGACCAGCCTGAAACTCTCTACCCTCCTGCCTCTACCTCCCGAGTCCTGGGATTACAGAGGTGTTCCACCACACCCAGCCTTCCCCCACCTTTTTGCCATATTAACTCCTTCTACCTGCTTCCTCAGAGAAGCCTTTCCACACACACACACTAATTTTGGAATTCCTTGTTATATTCTTTTATTCATAATGCTTATTACACAGTCAATAATTTTGAATGTTTTGTCTGTTGCCCTCACCAAACTATAAGCTGTGTGAAGGCAAACAAAGCATGTGTATTTACCCCGAAGTGGACCTTTTTTAGCTTTGCGTATCCAACTGCAGCTCAGGAGGCATGTGGTGGCTGGGTGCTATGGGGAAACCCATTCCCACGCCAGTCCCTGGCTGGAGCCATTTCTCCATTCTGTGTGCTTGGGTACAGAAGTCAACTAGCTACATTCTCACAGTCAAATAGTTCAGGGTCAATGGGAGAGAACAACACGTCAACAGATAATTATAAAACAGTGTGGCAAGTGCCTCAGTGGAAACAGGCCCAGTGTTACAAGAGTGCTGAGGAGGGGGCTGTGGCATGTCTCACATGGTAAGGTTACTGCAAGGCCCTGAGTTCAAACCACAGTACCACAAAAAAAAAAAAAAAAGCCGACACACTGATAGATGAGAAGGCTGAGCGGCTGAATGAAGGCTCAGAGGAGGAGGAAGAGGAGACCGATGAGGGAGTTTGCAGGGAGAAGAGGAGGGCCTTGCAGATGGGGAATACAGTATGAACAAAACTGAGCATTCATTCTGGTATACAAGACCGGGAAAACCTGGATTCAGATTCCCACCTCCCTGTCTGCACTGTGAGCCTCAGTTTCCTCAGCTGTAACCCCTGTCTCACTGGGCCAAGGCGAGGGCTCAACCACAGGACAGGAACAGCTCTGCCAACTGAGGTGGTGGGGTCCTGGGTTCCCCTGCAGCCTCGAGCTGACCTGAGCCCTGGCTCTTGTGCCTTGCCTTTCTTTAGAAGGAGATTCTGCTGTACGTCCTGCACTACATTCACTACCTCCAGAGAAACATCGATGTCGCCAGGGCCTTGCTCAAGTGCCACATTTGCGATGGGGAAGGTGGACTTGGAGGTAAGCAAGCAGTTCAGATGATATTTCCTGGTGGCCAAGTGTTTTCCTGGCTGTAGGGGACACGGAGTAACCATCTCCCCCTTCTTGGTGCCCACATCACAGCCTAGGGGGAGGGGACAATGTCAGAGAGGTGTCGAAGATACTGTGGAAGCTTTGAGAAGGGGACTTTGGAGCTGAGGCTTCGAGATCAGTGTGAGAAGGGGAACCCTGCCAGCCTGAGGAACATTATTTGAACATTATGAGCACCAGCACACAGGCATGAGAAGACACGTGTGGAACATTTGGGGACAGGCAAGCAGGGAGCGAGATGGGAGGGACTGTGTAACACCAAGATGATATGTACGATGTCCTGAGCCAGTTCCTAACTTGGGCTCATCGTTGTGACCTTCCACTTTCTGGGCTCTGTTCTGTCATCTGCAAAACAGGACTGATAGGATCACTTCTGTTTGTCTTGAGATTAAATGGGTTGATGCACAGGAAGAAATGCAGCTCTACTTGGAGACTGTGGCCACCCAGAGCTGTACTAGATGTGCCCTGTGCTGCAGTTGTTACCCGGGTGTAAAATACACAGACAGGTTGACAGAAGAAGAGGCTAGGGAGTTCGGCATGGGCTGGGATGAGGTCCTGAAGGGTTTCCCACACATGGCTATGGAAGGAGATGAAAAAGATTAAAAATTACTGAAGAACTTAAGTCAGGGAAAGTCAAGATCAGACTTGGTGGTTTTGTTTTAGAATTAGGTCCCTGACACCTAGTGTCCAGGACAAGTTATAAAGGGAGAAACTGTAATCAGGGAGAAAATACTTCTAGTTATGATCTCAATGAGGCCCAATCTAACACCATAGCTGGTTGTGGCCAGAAGTGGGCAAATTTGGGAGATGTTAATATGAAGGCTTGAGAGGTCAGGGGTAGAGGCTCAGGGCACCCCCATGAGGCGGGTGGCATCACCCTTGAGGAAGGTTTCGGGAGGAACAGATCTGGAAGGTGGTGTCTGTTCATCTTTTTTTTTTTTTTTTTCAGTGCTGGGGTTTGATCTCAAGGCCTACACCTTGAGCCACTCCACCAGCCCTTTATTGTGAAGGGCTTTTTGAGATAGGATATTTTGAGATATTTGTCTGGGCTGGCTTCAAACCATGATCCTCCTGATCTCTGCCTCCTGAGTAGCTAGGATTACAGGTGTGAGCCACCTGCACCCAGCTCCTCATTTTTTAATTTTTTTGATGAAACTGGGGGTTTGAACTCAGGGTTTCATACTTGCAAAGCAGGAGCTCTACCACCTGAGCCACACCTCCAGTCCATTTTACTCTGATTATTTTGGGGTCTCAACCATCTGGCCTTGAACCATGATCCTCCTGATGTCAGCCTCCCAAGTAACCAGGATTACAGGTGTGAGCCACCAGCACCTGGCTGAGACTGTTCATCTTCTTTTTTTTTCTTTTTACATTTACTTACATGAGTACACATTATTTGGGGCCCCTCTCCCCTCACCCACTGTGTTCATCTTTTTGGTTGAGGCCCACAGTAGCCTTGGGGAAACCTGAGTTAATGCCTGATACTTCTACCTCCTGGCTGTACACCTGCCCATCTCCTCTTAAGACCTCAGTTTCACTATTGAGTCCACCTAGGGACCCACTGCACCCTGGGGCTAGGAAGCATTGTGTGGAAGGCAGGAAAATATGTTGGATCACAACCAGGGCAGGGACTCTGACCTGTCTCCTTCATCCCACCAGGGCTGGGTCAGGACCCATCTGCCAATCCAACAAGGCAGAAACACTCCACCCCCTCTGGCTCCCCATGTTCTCAGAATTCTTATCTTTGGGGTGCCTGCCAGAAACCTCGGAAGAAGAAGTCTACCCGAGCATCAGGTATAGGCTGTCAGCAGTGGCCACATGGGAAGCAGGGTCAAATGGGAGCAGGATTCTGGGCTTTACAACTGTCAGCTCCTTCTGGGAGGGCTCTGAGGACTGGGGTGGGCCACTGTCCTCTGTGCCTCTACTTCCTCCTCAGGGAAGGTACCCGGCAAGGGTGTCTCCAGGTTACAGAAAAGCCTATGCAGACATAAGTCAGGCAGTGCTTATGTGAGAGGCACTGACCAGGCCCAAGGGATGGACGATGCTCTTACTATTTATCATCCTGTGCTCAGCCCTCAACTCTGGACCATGGCTGTGGGGAATGCAGGGTAGTGGGAAGATCCACCTGTGGGTGGTGGCAGGAGTCCTGGGTCCAGCCCTAGTCTCACTACCTCACTTCCATTCTCCTTTGAGGCATGGAAACACATGGAATGTTTCCATGCCTGTGAAATGGGAGTTGGACCTAGTTAGTGGTTTCCAGCCCTGGTTGCACCTGGGATGCTTTAAAAAAAATTCCTGTGTTTGTGCCTCACACCCAAAAAAGTCTGTGTTGTTGGTTTGGGTGGAACATCAGACACCACACCAACCTTGCATAGTATTTTTGTTTTTGAGTTTGGAGGTGTATGGATGGGGGTGGGGATAAGTGACCTTTGCTTGAGGATCTGGGCATAACTCGGAGGGCTGGTGAGTGACCAGGTCAGGCCAGCCCAGAGCAAAGGAGGCCCCTACCTGAGCCACGTTCTGGAGACAGTCAGGTGAGCTCCCCTCTACCCCAGTACCTTCTGACACCTATCTCTCTGCTCTATCAGAACACCAGGCCCGGGCCCAGAAGCCTCGTCGCTCTCTGGCCTTGGATAAGTCTGAGAAATTGGTGACCACATTCCCAGACCAGAAAGAAGGAATCATGGGGAGATCCATCACCCCTCCAAGATGCCTCAACCCCTCCAAGCCTGCATCATCCTCATCTCAAGGTGATGGAGAAGAAGGAAGATCCCAGCTGACACTGCTGGATATGGCGGAGGACATCATCCCCTATGACATTGAAAGTTGGTGTCTTTCCTCATCTTGAATTTACTTTTTCACATGGCTGCTATTTTTTAGCAACTTCTGTGTCCCATATAATCCTTGCCATTGGGGACACAACAGCGAGCGGGATTAACAGTGCCTCTCACTTTACAGGACTTGTAGTCTTCTGCCAGCTTTCTTTTTTGTGTCAAGCTCTGTTGTGGGTATAAGAGAGGACAAGATTGGGGTCACCCTCATTAACCCCACTGAACTGAGGGGATAGGATAAGGGCCACCTCACCAGGCCTCAGCAAATCAGCTGGACTGTCTCTTGTGATGCCTCTGTCATGGCACCAGCTGGGAGCAGGTGTGGTGATGCGTGGCAGAGAGCTGGAAGGGAAGGGAGGCCCTGAATTCAAGGCTGGCTCACACTGGATTCGAGACCTCAAGGCAGCTGGCTGCTGTTTTTTCATTTACCTCCATTCCTTGAGGACCTCCTCCAGGCCAGGCCAGTCCCCATGCAGGTGCTCGTGACGCATCAGTGGTCAAGTTTACAGTCCAGTGAAGGAGTCACCCACATTCCCAGATGGTGACAGTCCCAGAGTGACCCAGACTTCCTGGGTTTGTCTAGGACGCTGTGAGCCCCTAAAGAGGCCCCTGACTAGTCTGGGGCTTGGGAGGGGCTTCACATAGCACAGAGATTCCTGCTAACGATGTGACTTTGGACAAGTTAGTCCATATGGCAATGATTCAGTTTACCTACAGGTATAACAGTGGTGCCCCTCAGTAAAGGGTGACTGAGTAGGAGAATAAGGGCTAAAAATCACAGTAAGCACTCTGTACTTGTTATTATAAGTCATTGTCATTGTTAGTCTCCAGCTTAAGGATTTGATTTTCATTACAGTTTCTGAGGGGACGTAGATGTTAAGAAACCTGGGTGTGATTTGAGCACCCCAGCCTCACATAGAGGCCCTGCAGCCTATGGTTTTGGCTAGAATGGGAGAGTAGGAAGCTTGGTGACTGAAGTTGACTTCTCTCTGTCCCTGGTGTCTGGGAGCCCTGGACACTGGCCAGATCCACAGGGGTACTCATCCTGGTTTGCCCCCCAGGATTCCGTGTTGAGGATGGTGCCCAGGACGATGAGCCTGAGCCTGACTTGGAGGCCCAGAGAGCAATTGAAAGGATTTATTTCCTCAATAAGATCCGTCTCTATCCAAGGTAAGAGAACCCCAGGGGTGCTAGTGGTTAGGACTGACGTGTTTGGTCTGCAGTTGAGGGATTGTGACAAATGAAGTGGGTTTACATCCTTGATGGTGCCCTCCTGCCCCCCAAGTCACGCGCAGGGCCTGGCTTTCTGCTAATTGTTGTGAGCTTATGAACCTAGCTGCAGCCTCCTCACTGGTCTCCCTGGCCTTCCATCTCCCCCTTCTACCCAGTCTCATTTGGCTGAGTGGCTTTTCTAGCACACAGACCTTGACCAAATCAGTTGTAGCTTGACACCCTGCCTGGTGCTCAAAATATCTTACTTGGCCTTGGAGTTAGTCTGTGGCCCCGCCTTACGGTGTCAGGCCTTTCTCTAGCCTCACCCACAAATCTTACCTTTACATGAAATATCCCCCAAGCTCCACACAAGCCATTCCCTAGTCCCCTCTGAGCTTATCACTCTGGTCCCTCTTTTTGGAGAATCACTCCCCTGGTCCAAAGGGGAAGCCGCCCAGCCTGCAGCCATGTTCTCCCCAACCCCTCTAGAGCAGCACCTCTCTGCTGCCAGCATCTGCCTCCTACCTCTCCACAACACTCAAAGCTCCTTGGGGGTCAGAACCTCAGCTGATGAAGTTCACTGGGACTACATGAGACACCCAAAGGGGTGACACAGCCGTGCCCAGCCTGGGGCTCTGTGTCTGCCTCTCGATTCCACCTCTTGCAGGCAGAAGCTGGTCTCCTACGATTCCAGCGAGGAGAACAAGGAAGCTTCAGATGCCGATCCTTGGCTTCCTGCCTGGACCTCAGAGGACAGCCCCCCTGGTGACTGAAACTGTGTCTCCTCTTGTAGGCTGGGTGCCTTCTCATACCCTCCTTCTGAGGATTTCTATGGCAGGAGGAAAGCAGGAATGAGCTTGGGGATCTGCTAACCACAGGGATGGCAAACACACTGTGCTTGCTGTTACTCTGCCACTTGTTGCCCTAGCAGACACTGCTAATCAACCATCACTTTTTCCCTTGAGCCCAGGCACTACCTCAGGATCTTTCTTAACACAGAGCTCTGTAACAGGTAGCTACAATCCGTCTGTTCCATCTGGCATATTATGATTTTTTATTTTTTGCCATCCCTGATGTAATGCCAGGCAACTGTGCTTCTTAATTTCCTCTACCAAGAACTCCGAACAAGAAATGGACGTTACCTTTCCCCTATGTCTGGCACCATCACCTCAAAGCCAGCTGCTACCTTGTGGGAGGGAGGCAGTCTCTGAACACATCTCTAAGCCCTGTGTTTCCTTCTCAGGGAGCCCACTGGCCTTGGGGCCTCCCCAGATCAATACCTGGCATGAGACAGGCCACCTGAGCGATGTCTTAGGACTCAGCCCTTCCCTTTTCAGCTCCCCAAGCAAAATACTGCCTGAGCAGACCTTGAAGGATGACCGCTACTATCTGACCAAAGGTGAGCTGCCAGGGCACGAAGGGTGCTTAATTTGTTCACAAAACATGGGGTGCCCAACTGCCATGTACTCAGGCCTGTGCAGGGCCTGCTGGATTCCCAGAGGTGAACCTGCCCAGACCCTGCCTCGAGAACCTGCCCAGTGCAGTGGCAGTCACAGGCCGTGTGACAAGGGGAAGGCTCAAGCAAGGAGCCATGTGCTCTATCTCAGGAAGCTGACCTGTGAGCAGAACTTGGACATGACATAGAAGACCCCAAAGAAGCCAGAGAAGGGGACTCCAGCTATTGGGGACAGTGGGCTGAGGCATGGCTGCGAGAGAAACATTTTTCTCTAGTTGGCACTCTGTCCCTTCCCAGGTCTCTTTGAAGAAGCATTCTTACAGCCCGAGTCTCCACCTTCTGCTTGCACGCCTGAGGCTCCCCAAGAGAAGGTAGGCTCTGCCTACCCTTCACTGCCTGACTTCCTCAGCAGCCCCCTCCACCTGTCTGTCCATCCATTCCTGCTCCTCCTCATCCTTCCCAGATTCATAGTCACCCTTTGAACTCACTGTGGGCCACCAGAGGCCTATGAAAGACCTGCCTAAGTTAACAATTACTCTATGAAGGAGGAGGTCTTGTGGCCTCATTTTGTAGACAGGAACCTGAAACCAGAAGAGGGACCCCAAGAATCCTCAGCTAGACTAGAGACCAAAACCAGGGCTGCCCTCCTTCCCAATCCTGGGCTGACCTCACTTGCAGAGGCCACTTTGTGACAGAGACAGCTCCAGCTCCAGGCCCAACTGACTGATTCTTCCCCCAGTGTTGCCTTTGTGAGCCTCTGAATTGGTGGCAGAAAAAGAGGCCATTAGTGGAGCTTTCACGAGCATCAGGCACTCCATGAGGTGCCTGTCCAGCCTGCAAGGCCTGGGAATGACCACGTAGATGATTGCCACATCATCACAGCACCTAGTGGCTGGTAAACTGAGGGGCTGAAGAGACTTTACCCCTGCGGGGACTTCAAATTGACATGAATCCAAATTGTACCACATTGTCTCAAATGTCCCAGCTGGTGTAGAGATGAGGGAGGGTATCTTTAATCTGAGCTATTCTGAATGCTCATGTATGTTTTAAAAGATCAGTGAGTGTGGGGGGATGACTCCATACCCCAACTACCTTTCTTCCTCACCATGGTCCAGGATGCACCCTCCCAGGCCCCTGAAGAGCCCCCTGACTCCTACACCCTAGGCCAGTCCTCTGTCTCACTGGACCACTGCTACCTCTCTCTGAGTGAGAACAGCAAGGCACTATCCAGCCCCAGCTCTGAGGACACTGATACAGAGTCCCTTTGGACTCAGGAAGAGGTGAGAGTGTCAGCCCTGGCAGGGGATATAGGGAAAGGTGTCTCCTGCTGTAGCTCATCTCTTTCTCTCCTGCTAAGGACACACAGGCCAACCCCAAAGGCTTGCAGTCTTCCAGTGATGGCGACAATGACTATACCTGGACCCCCACCAGGCAGGCCTCAACCCTGTCCACAGCAGGGAGGAAGGCCAAGAATATCCGGGCTACCAGGGTTCCCCCGAAGCCCAAGGAGAGCAAGAAAGTCCCCTGCCCTGCCCAGGTGAAGAAGAAGTGTGTCAATGGCTTCATCATGTTCTGCAGGATGAACCGGAAGCAGTATATTCGGTGGGTGGGGGGCCTTGGTGCCCTGGGTAGGGCTCTGCTGTTACTCTCTGCACCCCCAGACCATGTGGCCTCTCACTGTTGTGAGACTCATTTGCCCCTTCCTGGAACCCACTGCCCCACCCAGCTGCAGTTCTCTGTGTGCAGCAGAACCCACTCAGACTTCAGGCTTGAGAAAAAAGGACACTGACCAGCTTAGACAGCCTTAAAGAAAGGGGCTGGTGTTGCTTGCCTTCAGGTACAGTTGGTGCTGGGCTGGAAACCATCTGCCTGGAATCTTTGTCTCCTTCTCAGGTGTTCTCTTCTGGGCTGGCTTCATTCTCCAGCACGCTGGGTGGTGTTGGGGACTGGTCATCCCCAGGAGGTCCATGCTCAGTCCCACCTGTCACTCTAGCAGCCTCCTCTCTGAGCTTTCAAGTAAACATTCTTGGGGTTCACTTTGGTAGATCAGGTGCCAGCCAGAACCAGTCACTGTCAGTCTGAAGCTATGGTCCAGGGAGGTCCCCATGCCACCATGGAGAAGTGTTTCCTCCCAAGAAGATCCAGGTGAAGGATCTGAGGTGTGGTGGCCTCAGGTCCCTTATATTCTCTTGGAGCATCATGTGCTCCTTTGGGAATGACCAGTTGATGCATCCTTTGACTTTTGATCCATGGAGTGTAACAGACACTTGCCACCAGCAGGATAGGAAACCCAAGACCTCACATGGCACAGCAGAGCTCCAAGAGGGCCAGGGATCCTCATGTGGCCATCCCATTGGCCTCTGCTCAAGCCAGGGTACCCTGTGGGCCTCTCCTGACCTTTCCTTTCTCCTCCCTGTCCCAGAGCCTGTCCTGGAACTGCGTCCACTGCTGCCACCAAAGAGCTGGCCCAACTGTGGCGGGTGATGACCCCTCAGGAGCGGAGACCATACTGGTGAGAAGCCCTGTATGGAATGGGGGAGTGGGTCCTGACCCTAATCAACCCTCCTGCATGCTCAGAACTCCATGGTGTAGCAAACGAGTTGGGAGTTTCCTGGGCTGAGGGATTTGTGACAAATTTTTATGAAAGACTTGGGGGTGACAAAGGCAGAGAAGTACCACTTTGAAGGGAAAATAGCTTCACTAGGGAATTGGATCCTGTGGCCCTAGGTTTCTTTTGCCTTTTCTGCCAAATGGGAGTTTCTCAGAGCATGGTCTTATTTTCCTGTCACTTGGCCTCTTCTGTCCCTCCTCTTCACCTCCATCCCCCAAAACCCTACCTTCTCCACCAACCTAAGGAGCTCCCACATGCCCATTTCCAGACTGGTCCCTGAAGCCCTCGTATGTGTATGTGCAAAGGGCCAGTGGCCAAGTCCTGTCTAGAGATCAGGATTTGGAGGCCCAAGGTTGGCCCAGTAAGGCTAAATCTCTGACCTTCCCACAGCCCAGGCCTGGTCATTGCTGGGGCCAGAGAATGGGGGGGACAAAGGTGGCGGGAGGAGAGTGAGGAACTGCGGTCCGGCTCCGTCTGCCCCCAGCATCAAGGCACGCAGGTTCAGCCGGCAGCACAACCGTGTGGTGAAGCAGGACAACTCCAGCAGTGAGGATGAGGACTGGGAGACCCCTAAGCCCTTCTACCAGCTGCTGGCCGAGAAGACCCGTGCTTTCCCAGACTCGGCCTTACAGAGAACCCCTCGTCACTAGTGGGGGACAGCTCCTCCCAGGCGCTCAGTCCTCCCTCACACTACTCCTGCAGTGCCTGTTTGAAGCCAGGACTCAGGGATGGCAGCTTGTCCCTCCTGGGCCTCAGCCACTGCTGCTGTTGGTCCCCTGCCCAGCTCCCAGGGGACTGGGGAAGAGGTGTATTTATTGACTCCTGAGGCTGTGTGTCTTCCCTTCTCACAGCCAGATGAATGAGGGGTAGGCGTGGGTAATGCCCCAGATGAAATGTAGGTGAAGTTCTAGAGCCGGGCTCCCCTCTTCCCACAGCCACAGAATCAAATGGTTTCATGCCTGTTCATTCTCACCTCAGCCTCCTCCCCATTCTATTTATAGACTATTTATTGTTTTAATCAAAACAAAGCAAGTAGAATCCTTGTTACCAGCAAAGGCGTCCAGGGCAGGCTCTCCTGCTTCCTCCGCCCTGGCTGGTCCTTCTGCCCAAATCAGGAGGCCCTGAAGTCCCAGCACCTGTAGTTTAAAAGACCTCCTTGTCCCCACGTTCTCCAGCCCCAGAGGCCTGACTCCAGACCTCTCCCCTCGGGAAGCTGGCCTTTCTGTCCTCTAGTTCTACTTCGGGCCAGTCGTTTGATAAGATAACCCACACCCACTGGTTCTGTCATCTGTTAACTTTATTTTCATTGAAATGGAAGCGTAACATGTCCTAGAAAAATAAAAATTTAGGGTACAAACTAGACACGGGTCAGGGTTGCCCCAGGAATGAGGCAGTCTTTGGTCTGGGGCTGGAGTCCAGGGGAACAAGGGGAGCCCCCCCCACCCCGCCCCCCGCAGGCCTTCTGGCAAGAAGGGCCAAGGTAGAGAGGGCCTGCCAGTCTCTGGCAGCCTCTGGGCCCAAGGTTATGTCCTCCACCCTCTGGTTCCAGGCAGCTCTGAGAATACTGAGTATCAGTGGAACTATTAAGTGTTAGGGAGAACAAGGGCTTGGGGCTCGGAAATCCAGCCATTTGGCAGGGTCTTCAACTCGCAGCTAGTACCAGGTAGAGGAGGGTAAAACCTCTGAGTCAGGACCCCCAAGTCCGCATATGACAAGGTAGAACAGGGAAAGGGCTGTAACAGGAGACCTCCTATCTAGAGAAGGGTCAGTGCCCTGGACAGCCAGGTTCCTCCCAGCTCCCCCAGGACTTGGGAGGCTCTGGGCTGTAGGGGTGTAGTGTGTGGGACTGCAGCAACTGTTCCTGAAAGTGTCTCTTCTGGGTCCTGTCCCTGTACATTGAGCACCATTGTCCAGAAAGGTGATGAGGCTGGTGGGCCAGTCACAGTTCCAAGGGTTCTTCCACAGGCACCGACTGCAGCTGGGTCAGGACCTTGGCCTCAGCTTCCAGCCCCTCATCAACCTCAGCCCCAGCTGTGGCCCCCAGGAGCAGCCCCTCAGGATCGGGCAGCCTCAGCACGGTGTGGGGGGCCTGTGCCCCCAACCCCTTTTCCGTGTCTAGCAGCCCCTCTGCTCCTGTGCTCAGTTCCAGCCCTGCTGGCCAGATAGGCACAGCTGCAGGTGACAGCATAAGACCCTCGGGCGGGGGCGCTGGGAAACTTGGCAGGAGTCCAGTAGAGTCTGGGGAGAAGGGCAGGCTGGCTGTGGAGGTGGTGACAGGGGCAGGCGGTGGTGGCTGCACAGGGAGTGTGCCTAGGGCATGGGGCTCCGGAAGGGCTGGGCTGGGGGCCACTGGGAGGGCTCCTTCGGGCACTGAGACGGTGGTTTCTGGTTTCAGAGGCAGGGCCAGGCTGGGGGCCGCAGGCAGGACCTGGGAGACCAGCATGCTGGTGGGGAAAGTGGCAGTGAGGATGATCTTGCCCTGCTGCACAGCCACCCCTGTGACAATGGGGCTGCCAGACACAGGGTTGGCCAGGAGGAAGTTGCCTGTGGGGAGAGGAGAGGGTTAGAGCAGAAGCAGACAGCAAAAAAGAGCAGTGAGAGCAAAGCTGTGGAGGGCACACGACAGAGCTCAGCCCCACAGGGTGCAGCAAGTCTGTGGCTGGAGCCTTGGGGCCTGAGGCCTGGCCCAGAGAGCACAGAATAAGTGGGGATGAGCTGCCCCCTCCCCCAGCACCACCCAGGCCTTAAGGAGGCAGAAAGGGGTACCTGGGGTGGTGGCAGAGGGAAGCTGTAGGGCAGTCACGCCCACCCCGGAGTTTATCAGGTGAACGTTGGCAGGGCCGGCTGCAGCAGCCACCTTCATGGGGTTGCCTGGCCCAGCTGCCAACAGCTGTAGGGGCCCCACAGCCTGAGGCAGAGTCACCACCTGGGAGGTGGGCACCACCTGGGGCAGGTTCAACAGCTGGGAGGTGGGGCCCAGGCTCGTGGGGTACCCAGGGGACGGGGAGAGTGGCACTACCTGGGGGGCAGCCACAGCAGGTACCGATCCTGAGGGCAGAGGGAAGGTGCCAGCTGGTGGGGGGCCAGGTACCACTTGGGGCAGGGGCCCTGGGACCTCCTCACCAGCCGGTCCGGAAGCAGCCATCTGGGCCCCTTTCATCTCAGGGGCCTCAGGTTGGGCCTCCTCCAGCCTAACCTCCCCAGTCTGAGGGTCCAAGACCAAGGAGGCCTTGGCCTCACTGGCTCCCTGGGGACTGGGCTGTGGTGGAGGGGCACCCCCTCCCCCTGTGAGCAGCAGGGGGCCCAGGCTGGAAGCCTCTCCCAGGGCCAGGCTATTGATGATGACAGGGCTGCCATTGAGGAGCACTGCTGGGGAACTGCTGGCAGCCAAGAAGCTGCCATTCACCAGGATGGAGGAGGAGGTAGCTCCGGGTGCAGGAGGGGTGGCCCCCGCTAGGAATATGGAGCTCTGGGCGGGGGCCTCTGCTGCCACAGGGGCCACCCCCCTCTCCAGGTTCTCTGGACTCCGGCTGGACTCGTCCTCTGTAGTGGGGTTCCCATCAGACTCGCTGGTGGGAGAAAGGGTTGTTAAGTGTGGATCTGAAGGCTGGGTCCCCCCAGGAGCAGAGGCTGACTTCTGCCTCCCCACCTCGGAGCCCAAGTTTTGGTGGAGAGTGGTTGTAAGACCACCCCAGGACCTCTCTCTGGAAGCCCAGTTGTTGACTGACACCACTCCGGGGAGGCTGAAGCTGGAGCAAAGGTCCAAAGAGGCTCTGCCTTCACACCGCCTTGACCCCTAGCTGAGCACCCAAACTGCCCCAAGTCCCCTGGGCCGGCAGGCGCGTGGCCTGGAGAGAGGAGGCAGCCGCCGTGTCCTTCCCCAGGGGCGTCAGAGAAGGAAGCTGGAGAGGCCGGGCGGCCGCACGGGGTGGGAGGGGAAGGGCTTGGGTTACAGGGAAACCAGAGCCGGGGAGGGTTCACGTTTCACAACAAAGACAGGCGACCGACCACGCTGTTTGCGCCCGGAGGGGGCGTGGGGGTGGGGAAGAGTAACGGCCAGGAAAAGGCCCCTGAAAGCGGCCCCTGCCCGGGTGGGGTGGACAAAGGCCCTTCGCCCTTTCTACAGCCCCTCGAGGGTCCCCCATTTCCCGCTGGCTACCCCCCGCCCTTCCTGTATCCCAAACACAGATGGGTTCGGGATGAAGGAGCCTCCGCCTGCGGGACAGCGATGCCGGGGGCGGGAGGGGCGACGAGTGCCCGATCAACGGCGCTCGGTCACCGCTCCACGGCTGCCCCGCGCGTCGGCCCCAGCTATGGCCCGGGGAGGGAGGAGGGCGGCTAATAGGACGGGAAAGCGGGACTTGCGCAGCCCGGCTCCCCTCACCTTTTGCAGGGCGCGCCGCCGCCGATCCCGGTCCGGTCACGCTGTCGCCGGTTCTTGAACCAGTTGCTGACCTGCGTGAGCGAGAGGCCGGTGAGCGTGGCCAGGCGGCGCTTTTCGTCCGGCGTTGGGTAGCGGTTGCCGCGGTAGCAGGCCTTGAGCGCGGCGCGGGAGCGCTCCTTGAAGCAGTACACGGTCTCCTCGCCGTCCCAGATGGTCTTGGGCAGCGGGAACTTCTTGCGTAGCCGGTATTTGTCCACTGCGCCCAGCGCCCGGCCGCGGGCCCGCTCGGCCTCGTGGTAGCGCGCGCGCAGGTAGAGGTCCTGCAGGAAGGCGTGGTGGGCGGCGGGGAAGGGGCGGCTCTCGAGGAGCCGGTAGAGCTCGGCGTACTCGCCCCGCTGGAAGGCCACCAGGGCCCGCGCGCGCAGCACCGGGTCGCTGCCACGTAGGCGCTCGGCCGGGGGCAGTGCGCCCAGGAAGCGGCTCAAGCGGCCGGCGTGGCCCGCCTGGAGCAGCGCCTCGCAGACACACGCCACCTGCTCGGGCGAGAAGCGGAGGCCCGTGGGCGGCTCGGCAGCGGCCTCGGGGGGCGATCCGGGGGCACCTGGGGACCCCGAGTCCTCCGCTCCCGCCGCCGCTTCGCCCGCCCCGGCCCCGGCCGCCGCCGCCGCCGCTGCCTCACCCTCGGCCGCCTGCAAAGTCTGCAGGAGCTGGCGCGCTTCCTCCTCCTCCTCTTCGGCTGCAGCCGCCGCCGCCTCCCCCCCGGCCGCCAGCCCCGCGCTCGGCTCGGCAGGCAAGGTAGCCATGTTTTGCAACTTTGGGAAGTTCCTCCCTCCTTCTCCGCCTCCCTCGGGCTTCCCCCAGCCCCCTCCCCCGCCTGTCCCCCTTCTCCGACTCCCCCCACCTTCCGCCCTTCCCGATCTTCTTCTCCACCCCCCCACCCGGAATGCCAGACCCAGCTCTCCACTCGGGTCTCTGTCCCTGCGTGTGTGTCCGTTCCCCTCCCCGTCTGTCCGTGATTCTCCCTTTGTTTTCCCTCCGCCTCTGGCCGCGCTTTCTGGCTTCCCCCCCCACCCTCCCGCGTGTGCCTCTGGCTCAGGGCCTCAGTTTCCCCATCGGGACAACGGAGAAGGTAACGGGCCGTCCAGGAGAGCTAAGGGCGCGAAACCACCTCCGCCCCAAGACTGAGCTTCTGCGCGCCTCTGTCTCCAGGGTCCTCTGAAGGCCCCCCACGCCCCATCTCGACGCGCGCTCCACCCCTCGGAATTCCCGGCTCCGCAGGGGGGCGGGTCTGGCAGGGAGGAGGGGCGGGGGAAACGGGATAGAAAGTTTGCAGCAACTTTTCTTGAGCGGATGCGCGTGGCTTGCGCAGGCGCAGTGCAAGGAGGATGGCCGCGCGGGCTATTAGCTCAGCCCCTTCTGCTAGATGCTTGGGCAGCACAGCTGGGCCACAGCTGGGCAGAGGGCGGTGCCTCCGGGTGACACGCCTGCCTTCCCTTATTGGCCAGATGTCTGAGTCCCGCCCCCACCTCGTCCTCCTTCTACCCTCGCTCTGATTTGTCCACTTTGCGTCCCGCTAGCTCCCCGCCACACCATTGGCCACCTTCACTCGCCCCGATTGGCCCACCGGGCAGCTTTCTCCCTCACGACGCGTACAGAACGGCAGCGCGAGGAGGAGAGGGTCTTTTATTTGCCAGGGCAGGGGGTGGGGTCCTAGGTGGGGACAGACAATAAATACCGAGGAATGTCGAGTCTCAGTGCATCCAAAACGTGGATTAGGGTGCTGGGGTCCAGGAACCTGTCAGCGGGTCGGGGGACAAGGTCAATAAATATCCAAACCGCCGAGGCGGACGAAGCCAACTGTGGCTCCGGCAGCAGCGCACGCGAGGGGGGAGGGGCAGGAATCCCCGAAAAAGCGGGGCTCGGCAAAGCAAAAGGCTCCCGACAGAGCTGGCGGAGGCGGCGCGGAACGTCCCCGTACAGCAGGGGCTCGTGCACGAGGAGCACTCGTGGTGCGCGCGCCGGTGGCGAGAGGGGTGCCATGGAGGGTGCAAATCGGATGGCCGCGCCTGGCCTGCCGCCTTGTCAGGACGGCAGTGTGCCCATCCTCGTCGGACAGAGGAAAGAAGCGGGCGACTCCCCCGCAGCAGCCGCAGCCGCAGCCGCAACAGCGTACCCTGGCCACCGCCCCCTCGAGCCCCGGCCGACTGCCGCGGACCCGGCCTCTCCCTCCCCGGCCGCCAGGGGGCGGGCCCGGATCACAGGGGGCGGTGGGAGCGGTGGAAGCGCTCGGGGCCGGGCCTGGGTCGCCCAACCCTCCAAGGGTTCCAAGTGGAGGACAGCTTGGGACTAGGGTTCAGGGGGCGAAGGCGGCTCCCGGGGCATGCCAGATTGGAGCGAGATGCCCGGCGCCGGCCACCAACCCAGCGTAGCCCAGGGCGGCGGCACCAGCCAGAGCAGCGGCGAACAGGAGCAGGCAACGCGCCTCGGATAGGCCAGGCCTAGGGACCTGCGGGCGAGAAGGCGGGATCAGCACCCGCCCAGCCTATGCGGACAGAGGGTCCGCAGCCGGACCGTGCCCCCCCATGACGGGCAGCTGCGGCTGGCCAGCTCGCAAGCCTGAAATCCCGACGGAACTCGTCATTGGCTGCTGCCTAGCCTGTGCTGATTGGTTGCCCGAGCACCCCCTCCCGCGGTGGGCGGAGCCCGCAGAGGCGCAGCTAAGCAGTGGTGGCGCGTGGGCGGAGCGAGGCGGGGGCGCGGCGGCGGGCGGGGGACGTACCCTGGCAGGGAGCAGCAGGTGGCGGCGGTGCATGGGGCCTGGCCCCACCAGCGGGCACTGGCCCAGAGCCACGGCCGGGGGGCCATCTAGCTGGAGAGAGAAGGGAGAGGTGACCCGACCGGAGCCCGGCCGCCCGCGGTGGGGGCGAGAGGCAGCAGGGAGGGAATCTGGGAATCCCCCCTAAAGGATCTGGTGACAGAGCTTGCAGATGTGGGGCTGAACTGAACGGAGGGCTCTGCCTTCTAGAATCCCAAAGAAGTTGGGTGAGCCCTAAAGCGGGAGTAGCAGGCCCGAGGCAGGGGAAAGAGAGGGGTCTTACATGGGAAGGTGGATCCGCGGCCCGGGGACTGGGGACCCCCGTGACAGCTGGAAGGAGAAGAGAGAGGCTATGGCGCGTGGAGGGCGGTGGCGCGGCGTGCCCCAGCTGGGCCCTCCCCCAGGTGTCCGCACGCCCCAGCGGCCACCTCCTCCGGGAAGGGGGCAGTGAGGGACTCGCCTGCCGCTCCCTGAGCCTGCAGCGACTCCATCCGCTCCTGCAGCTGCCGGACACGTGCCTCCAGGTCTCGGTTCCGGGCCTCCGCCTCCTGCAGTTGGCTGTGAAGAGATGGGGAGGGTGAGCCCACCGGACCTGGCGACAGGACCGCAGGAGGTGGCCCGGAGCAACCCCGACCTGGTGAAGTTCTGGTTGGCCGTGCGGATGGCCTCCAGCTCCTGGCTCAGGCTCTGCCGCGTGAGCACCTCCTCCTCCAGGGCCTCCTGGAGCTCCCGCAGTGTCACCTCTGTCACCTCCGCCACTCGGACTGCCCCCGGATTCGGATCCGCTGGATCTGGATCGCCCACTTCAGCCTTGGGGAGGGGGGTGGAGGGGACTCAGGCTGCCTGTGACTCTGGGAACCGCAGGGCTTTGAGTCTCCTGGCTTTAAAGTCAGGTCCCTTAGGGGCGCACAGGAACCTCAGAGCTATTTGTAAAATAACTCAACCTGACCGTGTCTTTCCCCACCTTCAAGCCTCTCCAGCTCCCTGGTCAGTGCTCAGGACAAGGACTGCTTTACTAGAAGGCCTCCCCTGGTTTGCTTCTGGCTGGTCACTGTGCCCCCTTGTAACAAGGCACCCATTGCACCCTTCTGCTACCTTTAAGAAACCAGAACCCCACCTCAGGGTTCTGCTGTGCCCTTGAGCAGGCTCTCCCTGCTGACCACAGGGCACTCTTCTCTCTTTGGTGACTCTTCCTCCTACCTGGAACTGGCCCCAGACTCCTCACAGCCCCCTGGTCACACACACAGTTAGTGCCTTGCTCTAATTTCCTCACAGGGACCATCTCTTGACTGAAGTGGCAGCCTGGTCCCTGGGGCTTGTCTGCCCCCAGTGCTGTAAGCTCCCAGAGGGTTTAGTGAAGCCTAGACTGTCCCCTCTGTTCCCCCCCACCTGCCTCCTCCATCTACTCACTGTTTCCTCCAGTGGGGACACTGTGGGCTCCTCCATGCTGGCCACTTGCACATGTGGTTCAGGTAAGTGTTGGGCCTCCAGTTCCATGGGTGTGGGGTCTGGGACCTCACTGTCCCTGAGAAAGGGGGAGAGAGCCAGAACCATTGGAGAGGCTGCCAATTGGGGGTCTCCCTAGCCTATGGATAGGGGCAGCACCTGGAAGACCCCATGCTTCAGGGAAGGGCAGGGGAACTGTCCTTTTTACCTTTCTAAACCTGTGGGAACTTGGGGTCCAGACACCAAATTCTAGGGTCTATCCCTTTTCTCCTTCAACATGTCACCTTTGAACACTCCTCTTTTTTCTTTTTTGATACTGGGGTTTGAACTCAGGGCCTCAAGCTTGCTAGGCAGGCGCTCTACCACTTGAGCTATGTCCCCAGCCCTTCATGCCCCTCTCCATAGGGCCAGAGAACAAGGACCGGATGAGAGAAAGAGAGAGAGACAGAGAGAGAGAGAGATCCATGCTGCCCAGCTTTGGGCTCGTCTAGAGGTGTGATCCACTGGGTGTGGGATCACGAGACTGACTCCAGATAACCCTCATAGCGCCCACATCCAAGGATGTGAAATTGCAGTAACTGGGGTCCCTTCCAACCAGTCCCTCCAGGGAACTATGCCTCAAGCAGCTGTTTATCATGGACATGCTCCGAGACCACCCTGCTAGCTTCCCACTAGCACAGCTACAACCGAGGACAGGGTAGGCTGCTGACCTGCTGGGAACAGTGAAGAGGCCAAGCACCCCCCCCTCACTACCGATGAGGTGTTTGCACACTAGGAGGAACCTGTGTGAGCCACAGATGGCTGGATGGTAGGCCCAGGTACCAGCGTCCTTTCCCTGACTGGTGTTTTCCAGTTTCTTTGGGAGAAGCACTGTCTTATTTGAATAACTGATTTTTGCTTGTTTGCTTGAACATACTGGGGTTTGAAAGGGCCTCAGGTTTGCCAGGCAGGGACTCCCCCACTTGAGGCACTCGGCCATCCCTACAATTAGTTTTTAAAAGGCTCTATTGTTACGTAAGTGGTTTGATGAGTCTACTTTCTGTTCCAATTCCTTGTAAAACTCTAAGCTGCTTTCTAACATTCTGAAGTCCCAGAATTGTGAGTAGAAGTGGGAAAGTCTCAAGTAAGATTCTGGAAAGCTGGGCCAAGGGCTCTGAAGTACAACTGAACCTAAATCTAAATTAAAGTACCTATAGGTTCCTAAGAGCTTTTGGTCCCAAGACTGATCCTGAAAAACAACGAGCCAGGCACGGTAGCTGCTGGAGTCTTACAGCGGCGCAGGCACGCACTTACCTGAGGGCCGTGCAGGAGTAGGAGTAACCCACAAAAGGCAGGTGGACCCCCAGTGGCATGCCTTCCTGCATGTCTGACAGTGTCTCCTACAAGAGATGCAGGAGTGAGCAGCAGTTGCCAAGGCTAACCCCTCACCCCAGTTTGGGGATGATCTAAAATGACCTCTCCATCTTTCCTGTGTCCTGTGCTTCTGCTCAGGGTGCTTGCCACGCTATAATCACAGCCCTCCTAGACTCTGGGTGGATCAGGGCAGGGCTGCACACACACCCCAGGATGGCTTGTTTACCGCTGAGCAAGAGACAACTGTCCTCTCATCACTCCTCCAGGAAGCCCTCCAGCACCTTATATGCCCAGTCAAGAGCCAGTACCCCTGCATTCTGCCATCTCAACCCTGTCACTCTGGGGCCTTGTTGGGGACTAGACTGTAAGCCCAGGTTACCAGTGTTTTATCAGCACCGAGTGGGCCCATGGCAGGTTCTGGAGGGCGGTGGGGGATTCAGGACTCCAGGAGATCATCGCCCTGATTTTAAGGAGGGGCAGGAGGACGTTGCCTGAGCCGAGCAGAGGCAGCAGGTACGTACCCCGCCCCCGCTCACCATGGCAGTGAGCCCATCCTCCACCACGTCGAAGTTGCAAGTGTCAGTGGCACCCTCGAAGTCTGGCGTAAAGGGCGGTAGGCTGTCACGGAGACCCTCCCAGTCAAGGCCAAAGAAGAAAGGATGCTTCCGGAAGTCGTTCGCTCCATCCCGGCCTAGCCGAACCTCCGCAGGACACAGCAGCCGCTGGATGAGGTCTCGAGCCTCCTCAGGGACCCCTGTGTCGGCCAGTGGCAGAGACAGGTGCTCCTGCTCGCAGGGAGGGGAAGAGATGCCGGCCTGGGCGCATGCGCGGAGGACAGGGGGAGAGGGGTGGTGGCGGGGGAGTGGAGGGGGGGTGTGCCCGGCCCTCGCTCACCTTGTAGTGGACGATCTTGCCGTAGGTCTCGGCCGTGGAGTCGGCGTAGAAGGGCGTCTGCCCATAGAACATTTCGTAGGCGAACACGCCCAGCGCCCACCAGTCGCACTCGGGCCCATAGCTGCCAGTCCCAGGTCCACCGCCCACAGCCTGCAGGATCTCAGGAGACAAGTAGTCTGGGGTGCCCACGGCCACCAGCGATCGCACCTGCGTCCACAGGACCTGAATGCTTAGTCCATCCCTATCTGCCTCACCCTGAACCACAGTACCTCCTTAGGCCGGGTGGCCTCCTTGGCAGAATCCAGCCCCGCCCCCACCCCTCACTGGCAGGCAGAGTTGCCCCCCTCTGTCCCCTCTTCCTCACGGTTCCATCAGCCCGCAGCTTGAGGCAGGAGCCAAAGTCAGCCAGGCGGATGTGGCCGCAGCGGTCCAGCAAGATGTTGTCTGGCTTTATGTCCCTGTACGGAGGGGAGGGGAAAGGAGGAAAGGGAAGAAATGAAGAAACCTCCCGGCCTCCGCTGCCAGGCTCCGCCCTCTGGACGGCTCCACCCCCAGGCCCGCCCTCAGTGAGCCCCAGCCAACAAGGCTCCTCTCCACCCCCGACCCTCTGGTGCCCTTCCCATACAAGCTCTGCTGTCCCTCTCCGGCACTCCTCGGCCCTGCCATGCCCACCTGTGCACATAGCCCAGCCGGTGCACTGAGTCGATGGCCATGACAATTTCGGCCAGGTAGAAACGCGCCATCTCCGCCGGGATCCGCTCCCCGAACTTGCTTAGCAGCGTCAGCAGGTCCCCGCCCACGTAGTACTCCATGACCAGGTACTGGGAGGGGGCGTGTCATGGGAGGTCAGTAGCCCCCCTAAGCGCTGATTCCCTATCATCAGGGGCAAAAACTCCCAGAGACGCCACAGTCCCATACCCGCCAGAGTCCCAAAGATCTTCGAGGCCAAATGAGAGACGCCAACCCCTTTCGCCCCCCAAAAAAGAAAGAAATCTCTTGCAAGATGTCACTGGTCGTTCAGGGAAAAGGAGAACTGAGAGACTTCCAAGGCCCAGGGGACAGATCCCGGATACTGTCCGGCCAGGGTCCCCCACGGAGAGCCTCTCCAACAGAGGCACTGCCACACAACAGACCCCAGGTGCAGGCCAGAAAAGAGCAGTAAGGGCTTGGCTCCCTTCCCAGGTAAGGAAAGCCCCGCTACCGAGACGCTTCCACTTCCTCTCCCTTCGTACTTCAGCCTCCTTAACTGAGGAGCGGGAGGGGCCCTGTCCTCCCGAAGCTCACCAGGTAGTTCTCGTCCTGGAAGGCGAAGTGCAGCTGCGTGATCCAGCGCCGGTCCCCATTCACCAACACATCCCTCTCTTCCCGGAAGCACGACACCTGCGGGCAGGCGGGCGGCACCCCCGCGGGAGGAGCAAAGGAGCTGAAGGCGGGGAGGGTGGGTAGATCCTCAACCCCGCCCCACAGCCTCGGCCCTCACCTCGCCTCTCTTCAACATGTCCCACTTATTCATAATCTTCATGGCATACACCTGGCCCGTCTGCTTCATCTTCACCACTGCTACCTAAAGGCCGGAGCAGCGACAGTAGCGAGGTGTCGGGGAAAAACAAACGGTGCCCGGGCAGGACTCCACCCAGCCTCGGCCCCGCCCCCATTCCAGCCCAATCTTAGGTTCCCGCTCATTCATCAATTTCTAAGGCCCCGCCCCAAGCCCCGATACCCCGCCCACTCCAAATAAAGCGGAGTTCCGCCACTCAGTACTCACCTCGCTAAAAGCCCCACGCCCGATCACCTTCAGAATCTCAAAGTCATCCCTCTGCAGCCGGACCTCCTTAAGCCTTGCTGCAATGGGATCCGCTGGAGGTGATGGGAGAGAGAAAAAACCAAGGAGGGTCACAGGGACGGATATTAGGGGTGACGGTTGGTCCCTCAGTCCTCTCTCCTTCAACCAGGCTTTAGGGCCCTCTCCTCCCGAGGACTCTCCCACATAATCGTCGTTACCTTTTGGGGGAACCCCAAACTGCTCTCCCATGGAAGAAGTTTTGGGGACAGCACTGGGTCAGGATAGGCTAAGAAATGCCTGTACAGCCTGAGACCCTGAGGAACAGGGGAAGACCCCCATCCAAGCCCCAGGCCTCCACCCCCACGACAGACAATGGTTAAGGTGTCGGCAAGTCCCCACCCTCCAAGTTCTCATTTGGTGTCTTGGGCTGTGTTCAGAACTGTAGCTGTGCCCAGCACCTCTGTCCTGAGATGCAGGTGGTTCAATGTGGGACTGGGAGAAGGAACAGGAGGGTGTCATGACCAGTGTGGACACAGCCTGAGCATCTTTAAAGTAGGGTCTTGGACCCCCCAGGGAGGCAGGAGGAGGGCTTTCTTGCAGGTGGCAATCAGAGCTCCAGAGGCCAAGGTCCCACAGCTAGCATCACTCAACAGAGTAGTAGGGGGGTGGACGCTGGAGACTCAGGGACAGTGGGGAGAAGGAGGCTAGGCCTCTTGGGACAAGAAGCTGGGACTTTGGAGGCAGGATGGAGGAGAGATAGGTATGGGCAGGGGAGAAGGAGATGGAGTGAGTTATGAAGGGGGGAGAGGGGCTCTGGGAGAGTGGGCCGACAAGGAAGAACCAGCCTGAGCCAAGGATGGGGGAGGGAGGAGAGAGCCAAGACATTGAGCCCTTTTAAGGCAACAGGAACCCAGGCCACAAAAGGACTGCTCTTTCCAGGAGAGCCAGACCCCTGCCCCCACCTCAGGTCTCAGTTTACCCTGTCAGCCCCGGTCGGTCCATCCTCCACAAAAGGGGGGTGGGAGCGTCAGTGAGGACTGGGGGGGCAGGGAGAAAGGTCAAGATGCCATGGCCTGGCCTTTGGCCTCCATAGTCCCATCAGTGAAATAGGAGAGGAAGGGTCTGGGTCAGAAAAAGGACACAGGACAGGAGGAAGCTGGGGAAGGTGGAGACCAGAAATAGTTACTGAGGCAGGGATACACACAGGACAAGGATAAAGAGCAAGACCCTGAGGGCCAGGCATGTGGAGGGACTGAAGTAACGAGTGAGCCTGAGTCAAGCCAGGTGCTGGGTGGGGGCATACAGGGCAGGAAGCTGACATTCAAGTGTTTGTCAGGGCCTGGAAAGACCTTAGGACAAGGGTTTTGAGGAACACCTGAAGGGTTGGGGGCCCTGAATTGGGACCAACAAAGTAGGTAGAGGGCTGCCAGGGAACCACAGGCTGGCCAGAGCAGGCTTGGGGGACCAAGACATTAGGGCGTGGGGTGGTGGCACAGACCGTAGAGTGGGCACACCCAGAACCTGTTGTTCCTCCTCAATCTGGGGGACAGAGAGGGTTCCAGATGGTGCCTGTCTGTTGAGCTGGTTCTCCCCAGGCCCACATGAGTCACCACACCCTCCCAAAGCCTGGACACCTGTCAGGTCAGCTGGAGAGGCTGGCGCCAAACACCTGCCAGTCAGCTGCACCCCTGGCAGCTGCCCATGCTGTCCCTCCCTGCCTGCCCTGCGATCTGGGAAGCCAGGGTGGAGGGCCACAGGACCCATTTTGGGAGGAGGGTCCTAGAAGAGGGAGCTGCTAATATGTCTGCCCCTAGGTCTTGGGCAGGGGATGCAGAGAGACTACAGGCAGCTGTGCCCAGCCCAGCCTGCTACAACTGAGTCATGGCCACCATGGCCTCTGCTGACCTTATTCTGCCCCCCTAGGGGGGACAGGGTAAGGCATGTTGCCCAGGGACCCAGGTCCAGGCTCCGGGCCCCTTACGGGAAATCTTTGCTGTACATCCTGACTCCCAACTACCCCTGCCAGGGCCCATGCAGGTGGAACTCACCCCACTGCAGGAAGCCGGTCACATACTTGTCCTGGGCCAGGTCGGAGGCGCCCAGCTCCTGGTGGACGCCCAGGAGAAGGTCGAGCAGGGGCTCCAGTCCCAGGAAGCCGGGGTCCAGTACCAGCTGCTGGAGCTGCCTCAGCCGCACCTCGGCTGACATGTCGGCCAGGCAGCACCATGGCCCCTCCCCGGGCCGGGGCTTGGGGGTCCTCCTGTCACGGGGCCTGGCCAACCCTGCCCAGGCCCCGAAGCCCTGGCCCCATGTCTGCCTGTCCCTGGCTGTCCCCTGTGCCTCCCTGGCCACTTCTCCCTGGCCTAGCTGAGGCCTCCTCCTCTTCTCCCCACCCCTTGGTCCAGCCCCACTCCCGCCTCCCAGCTTTAACCCCTCATGAACCAACACCCCAACTCCCTCTTCTCAGGGCTCCCTAGAAACTTTCAGCACTAAACAGCAGGAGCTGGGCAAAAAACCTCAACTCCAGCACTGCCCCCCATAAAAAGGTGAAGCATGGAGTCACAGATGTGAGGCGTCAAGACAAGCCCTCCCATTGCCCAGAGGGGGCCAATGGAGGCACAGAATGACCCAGTGACTATCCCCCTTGCTCCCCACCAAGCCCCAGAGCTGGGGTGAGGGCGGAAAAAGGGGCTGACACCCTCCTGGGCGGGGTGGGAGGCCAGGGCAGCTTCTCCGGTGACTCAGCAATGGATTCCAACTTTGGGATGGTTAAATTTAGCCCCAGGACCTCTGGGTTACACCGACTTCTTCTCTGGCAGGAGGTGAGGAAGGGGTGGTAAGAGGACTGGAAGAGGACACTCTCAGAAGCCAAGACCAGGGGTGACCTGTTGGCCAAAGCCTGGGATAGGCAAGTGGTAGAGCCAGGCCCTCCCAAGCAAAGGAGACCCCAAAATAGCTCCTTGGCCACAGGCCGGGCAGCCACATTCCTGCCCAGGCTGGGATTAGAAACAGAAACATTTCGGGGGGTGAAGGGGGAGCGGGAAGACACCACTCCCTGAGGCTCCGGAGAGCAGCCAGGAGGGATCTTAGCTTCTTTCCAGGGGGACAGTTCTCCTAGCTGGCACCAGACCCTGGACCAGGCTGAGGAACTAATGGCAATGACCTGTCCCAAAGGCAGCTCACATGGACTCCTGGGCCACTGGGCCAGAAGCAGGGCAGGGTAGGGTAGGTGGGATTCTTTGGAACAACTTTCATAACTCCTGCCAGTCAGCCCAGGATGCTGAAGAGAGGCCCTGCTCAGGGCTGGTGGCCTGGTGCCTTGTGCCCTTGGGTCCTCCCCTTCCCTCCCTACCCGGCTGATGGGGGATGTGGCCTGGCCACTGGGTTAAAGCGCAGATCCTAGGCGTGCAGCCAAGCACCAACACTTCCAACACTCCCCCCTCCAAGGGAACAGAGCCACTGTGCAAACAGGGAACTTTAGTATAAATAAAAGGTCCAGGGGGACAAGGAAGGCCCTGGAGGCTTCCATAACTTAACACTCTTCAAGCACAGACAATAGCAAGGGGAGGAAGGTGCAGCCGGGAAGGGGGGTGGCCCCTCCACTGCAGAGCTGGGGCTCTTGGAGGCAGGGATCCTCCCAGGAGTGACCAGTCACATGCTGGGGATGGGACTGTGGGTTAACACTGGTATTTCAGAGGAAGGGGTCATTTTACTTGGCAGTGGGTGGGGACAACAAAGAGGCCACACAGGCCGCTACATCCCCCATTATCTGGGTCAGTCTTGGGGACCCCCACATTTGTGCAGGGCGGGGGCTTGGAGTAGTCCTTCCGGCATGGTTAGTCTTGTTAATATGTTGATCCATGAGGTCAGCGGGGAGGGTCATGGAAGAGGCTGGGGGCATGGGGTGGGGACCCCGACATCCACAGCTTCACACCACTGTGCCACTTGGGGAGTTGCCTGGTTGGGAGGAGATGCCCTAGGGAAGATGAGAGGGAAGACAGGTGGGTTAGACACCACCAGGGGCTTCTGCCAAACACCCACAGACCCTGGCATCTCAGCCCACCCCAGCCCTGAGGCTGCTGCCCTGGCTCCAAACAGCCAGCTTCAAGTCCTCAGGTGGTCCTGGGCAGAGCTGACAATAGAGGAGAAGGCAGAGAGGAGGGGACTGGGGTCCCCTTCTACTTGGGGGTAGTCCTGAGATGCTGGAAGGGAAAGAACTTGGGGACAGTCCTACCTCTACCACTGACTTGCTGGGTGACCTGGGCCAACTTCCTTCCCCTGCCTGGGCCTCGGCCTCCTGGTCTGTGAACTAGGGAGATAGAGGGGTTTTTCAGGACTCAGTCACCCTCCCCAAACCCCAGCATCCTTGCATCTGAGGCTCTGAAACTGCTCTGAGTTCTAGGGGTCCAGGACTCTAACCACCAAACCAAGGATCCAAGAACGGAGCTGTGGCCCTTAGATCTGCTATCCCGGACGCTGAACCCAAATGCTAAGGCTCCGTGGGTTAGCTGAGACTCCCCATGCCAGCTCCAAACGAGGTGGCAGGCCTCTGTTTCACCTGTCACCTCCTGAACCCCACAGCCAACTGGGAGGAGAACGCACCCACTCCAGCCCACCCGAAAGGCACTCTGTCCTAAGAGGTGTGAGTAGGTCAGAGCCGGCCTGACAGGGAACAGAAACACAGGCCTGGGACCTGGCTCTGATTTCCACCCAAGCCTTCTGCAGCAGGCTCAGATCCCAAGAGTACAAGAGCCAGGCAGGAAGCCAGGCCCCCTGGCAAAATCTTGCCTCTAGAGTGTTGGCCCAAAGTATACTAAAAAGTTTCACCATGTAAAAGCCCAGATTTTCCACAGAAATAAGTTCTGCTTCCAGTGACAAGCACCGCTGCAGGTGGCCCTGAATTTAAACCCCAGTACAGCCCAAACAGAAAAGCCGAGACAAACACCAAAATCAGGCTCACGGGCCTATCAGACACCATTCAAATGCCTGGCAGAGGGCCCCGCCACCCCCAGCTGTCTCCTGCATGCACTTCCCTCTGCCAACTGCTCCCAGAGTGCTAGGAGGCAGGCGTTCAGACAGCTTTGTCTGCGCGGTGGCCCTTCCCTGCTCCAGGTGGGGACTCACCGCCCTACCGGGCCGGGCCCAGGTGCAGATGAGGCCCTCCTGGCAGGCAGTGATGATACAGTCCTCCAGGAACAGCAGGACCGTCAGCCGCTCCTGTGCGATCTTCTTGCACACCAGGGGCTCCAGCAGCGGCACCTCGTGGATGCGCGGGCACAGCGCAGTGCCCAGTACTTTGGCGGGGTCCAGGCGGCTGCGAGGCGCCGGGCCGCTGGGCTTGTCGCCACCACTGCCACCGCGGCTGATGTTGCCCAGGCTGTGGTAGCGCTTGTGCTCCTTCTCCGTCCCCCGGTCCCGCCGCTCCTGCAGTGTGAGCGTGGCAAAGCGGCCAATACTAAACGGCGTGCCTGGCTCTGTGGCTGTGCCTGGGCCACCAGCCTTGCCACCGCCAGCTGGGTGCGGCAGGCTGTTGGAGCGAGACAGGGAACGGGGCAGAGGGCCCAGGCCTGGCTCACCAGCCCGGGAACTGCCGGTGGCTGGCGGTGTGGCTCCCGGTGTGCCTGGGAGGGTGCGGGTGCGGGCCAGGGGCGGGTGCGGGCTAAGCACGTCTTCAGTGAGGTCCCACAGGCAGAACTGTGTGTCCTGGCCGGCTGAGCCAAAGCGGTAGGTGATGGAGCCAGCCTTGGGCAGTGGGGAGAGCGGGGCTCCTCCACCTGAGCTTGTGCCAGGGGCCTCAGGGAGCTCCTCCTCGCCACTCCGATCCCCACCACCAGTGGCCGATGTGGCCTCCTCTGCCCGTGTGGTGTAGGGGTCAAAGGCCACAGCATTGACCCATGACTTGTGGCCATGGCCTCGAGCCACCACACGGCCCTCAGTGAAGGACCACACGGTGACCAGGTCGTCCTCGCCTCCTGTCACCACGTAGCGCCCATCGGGGCTCCAGCATACACACAGCAGACCCCCAAAGTAGCTCTTCATGAGCCCCCGCAGAAGCATGGAATCGAAGTGGAAGACACGCAGGCAGCCGTCCTGGCTGACACAAGCCAGGTGCCGGCCATCGGGTGAAAAGGCAAACTCGTTGAGGGGGCCCTCGCCCACAGCCCACTTGGCCAGTGGGTTGCGGGGTGCCTTGCTCTTGGCAGTGTAGACGGCGAAGCCCTCGCCCTGCTTCAGGAGGCTGTACTGGGGCGGGGCCGAGGCGCAGGGGTGGCTGACGTTGTAAAGGTACAGGTGGCCACTGGCATGAGAAGCCAGGAACAGGCTCTCTGACTCAGGCAGCCACTTCAGATACGTCACCTTGGTCTTGTCGATCAGCCGCTGTAAAAGGAAGAAAGGGGTTGGGAGAAGGTGACTGCCCCTGGGCAGACCTCACTCCATCTGGACCCCCAGCACCTTCCAACACAAGTCCTGCCCAAGAGCAGCTCCCAGAGCAAGGGAGACAGGTGATAGCAGGTCACAGGAACACAAGGGAAGAAAAGCCACCTAGGAGGTGGCCACAGGGACTCCATGAAGTCTCAATGTCCCATCTTTGGCAAAGGACTGCCAGATAGCTGTCCTCTATCTACCACTTTCCCATCTTCACTATGTCAGGCGTATGGTAAGAAATTTATTCACAGAATGTGGGTCCCCCAAGGAAGGATGCTGGTCCACCTGGCTCGCTGTTCTATCCCAGTGCACGGAGCAATGCACATCCTTAAAGACATTCCCTGGACAAATGAACGACAGCCCTGTCTTGCCATCTGCTTAGGTCAAAACCTTCAGGTATCTTTGCTCCTCTTTCCTCACAGCTCAAGTTAACCCAACAACTCCTGTGGACTTGACCTTCCACGTGCAAACTTATTCAGAACCCTCTTGCCCACCTGGTCAGTCCACAGTGCCTCCGACCTGGCCCAGGGCCAGGACCACCTCCTCTGTAGTCATCAGAGATGAGGTTAAATACAAGCCAGTCCCTGGCACTGTCCTGCCCAGGACAATCTAAGCCCTTCTCAACCAGAGAACAAAGCCCTCCAGTCCCCAGGCAGCCACTATATTCCATGAACAAACTTCTTCCCCAGGGTCCAAGCAGCCTCCTGTAGTCGCAGGACTAAGAAAACCATCAGCGATCCAATCAGTTCTGTTCTACCGCTCAGTCGAACCCAGCTGCAAGAGGATGCTCCCCGGGCTTCCATGGCCGTGAGGATGACATGAGCTAGGCCCTCCTGTTATCTGTAGGAACTCACCTATCACCCTCCCCTCAATCACTGCCACATATAGGATACTTAACGTCCATATGTCTGTCTCCCCAGCCTACTGGCCGTGCGGCATCCTTCTGCTCACTGAGATGGACCCAGAACAATGCCTGGCACAGGACGGATGCTCAGCCGCTGTGTCGTGAACGGATGAGCTCATGCCTTCAATCCATTCACTGCTCCACTTGCTCCCTTCAGCCATTCGCTCATTCTGAGGACATTCATAGAATGCCTCCTCTGGACTAGAGACAAGGAGATAGAGCAGTCCCTGCCCAAGGATAAGGTCATTTGCTGGCCTTGCCTTGTGAGCCAAGTTGGCCTACACTGAGCAGTCTCCAAGATTTTTACAACAGTCCAGTGAGGGAGAAATAAGAATCCCATTTCGGGGCTGGAGGAGTGGCTCAAGCGGTGGAGCACCTGCCTAGCAAGCATGAGGCTCTGAGTTCAAACCCCAGTACCGCCACAAAAAAAAAAGAAAGAAATAGAATCCCATTTCATAGAGGAGGAAAACTGAGGCTCTGAGAATAATCACTGCCCCAAAGTCACACAGTAAGTAAAGGATGCAGCGGGGACTGGAATCCAAACCAGCCCAGTATTTGAAGAACATGGGCATCAAAAAAATCCCAACCGGTAACCAGCCTCAGTCCTCTACTCTGCAAAATGGGCACCACAGTTTCTTACCCATTGGTTGGTAAAAACTTAGGGAAACAAAGTGTTCATTTAGCACAGAGCTTGGGCACAGGGAGAGCATCTGGCATAACTAGCTGCTGCTGTCACCTCTCTTCCTCACCCTGCCCCTCTCAGGCCCCTGCTGCTCCCAGGCAGCTGTGGCCTGGTGTCAGACAGCATGTGGGTGAGCAGGGAAGGAAGGAGTTGGGGCTGCAATCACCTCCTCATTGAACAGCTTGCTGGTGTCCTTCTTGATGAGGTCCAAGTATTGCACTTGGCCGGCTGAGAAGCCTACTAGCAGGGAGATGGTCTCTGTGGCGGCAGTGAACTGGTTGAAGTCATGGCAGGTGGGCTGGGTGCCCTTGTAGATGCGTTTGTCGATGGGCTTGTTGAGGTCAATGGACTTGAGCAGTGGGAGAAAAGATGTTAAGGGTTTAGACCACAGAGCGGAAGGAAAAGGGAGTTGAGGTTGGGGAAGACCGCTAAGAGGAAGCAGGGTTAAATCCCCAGGGGAAGTGGGTAACGGGTGGGGAAGGAGAGGTGACCATAGACAGGAAGAGGACTCAAATCAGACACACATGGGGAAGAAGCATACTGCAGGCACCCCCCACCCCCACTGTGTCTTTCCAACACTGGACCCTCCCACCCTTGTCCACATCATCAGGGTTCAGGGTCCCCATTGTCCCTGAGCTTGGATTCTTTCCCAGTCCCTCTAGCCCTCATAACCTAGGCAACTTCACTGGGACTCACCACAATATTCCAAGGTCCCAGTCTTCAGGGTCACCCACCCCAGAGGGTGACCAATATCCCTTCAATTTGAGGTCCTTAAACCTCAAGACCTCCATCACAGTTCAGATACCCATTAACCTCAGCAATGTCATTGGGACAACTGAATGTACTCAACAGTTTAGGTACATGCTTCACCTCTGAGCTCTCGGCATCCCTGTCACTCAGGGTTTCACCCCTCTGACACCTACATCACTTTAGAGCTGCCCATCAAATTTGCCCTAGGATTTCCCCTCCCAGGAGGCTCCCATCACCTGGAACTTCTATCACCCTCACTTCTTGCAGGCCCCTCATTACCTCCAGACCTCAATTTTCTCTAAGATCTCATTCATCTGTTACATCTAAGACCCTCATCACTTCCAGAGTCCCCCTCACTTCAGGGCCTCTAAATCTCAAGACATCCCTCACCCCCAACATCTCCAAGCTGCAATACTTCTAAGTTGATCCATCTCCTCTAGGCCTGTGTCACTTCACGATTCCCCATCACCTGCAGAACACCTGCCACCCTAAAGCCAGGGAACCCCACATCATCTCAGATACCCCATCATATCACAATACGCACCACCCCAGAACCCCCACGCGGGGAGGGACGGCCCTATCACCTTTCAGAATCCTGCACTATCTCCGAGAATCTCGTTCCCCTCGGTTGTCCATCACATCTCCGACGCCTTTCTCGCGGCCCCATGTTAATTTGGGGACTCATCACTTCTTAGGGACCCCTCACCCAAAACTCTCAGCACCCAGGCCCCACGATGCGGGCCACTCACCCGCTGGCTCCCGCGGCGACAGCAGCCCGGATAGAAATAAAGCTCGCGGCCCAAGTTGAAGCAGACGCGGTCTCCACCCGCGCCCAGCCCCGCGGGCGTGGCAGGCGGTTCCCCGGACCCAGCGCCGTCGGGTTCCCCGAGGCGCACGAGGCTGAGGCGCACGGCGGGCAGCGCGGGCCCGGGCCCAGGGCCTGCAGGCGGCGGGGACGATGCGGGGCCCGCGGCGCCGGAGGCGGAGGCCGGGCCGGGCGGGGGCTGCGGAGGCTGGGGCGGCGCCGGGGTCTGGGCGGAAACCGGACCCGATCTGCGAGCGGCGCCGTCGCCGGGGAGCAGCTTGTAGAAGCCCTCACGGGTGCGGAACTGAGATTTGATCTCCGCGCAGTCCCCCATGGCAGCGCCGGGGCCCGAGCCGCCCTCCGCGCCGCCCGCTGCCATCTTGGGCGCCCCCCGGGCCCCGCCGCTGCCGGACCGCCGCCCGCAGCCGGGCCCCCAGCCGGAAGCCGCAGGCCCGCGCCGGAAGAGGTAGGGTCGTCGCCCTGACGACGCCTCTTCGACTGGCAGCCGGATCCGGAGGCGGGACGAACCCCTGACCGTTGCTTGGGTAACGGGCCTGGGGTTGTGGGTGGGGCGAAAAAGTGGGCGCGGCCTCCGCCCCAGCACCAACTGTGGTTGGCTACGGGGGCGGTGCCCGCAAGGAAAGGGGTGTGGCCAACTGGAAAGCTCTGGTCCCTAACAACCGTACCCTGGGAACGGTTTGCCTAGCAACGGAGAGACCCTCAAAAGAAGGCCTTGTCAGAGCCTTCCCCTGACGTCACAGGTGACCCGAAATGATCAGTGTGTCTTCTCAACAGTGCTCAACAGTACACCTCCCTGACCTCAGTGTTTCCCAATGACAGCGTGAAGTCCCCACCGAACACAGCATTTCGAACCCTGTTTTTTTGTTTTTCAGGTACGAGGGTTAAACCCAGGGCTTCACTCAAGCTTTCTACCATTGAACACTTTTGTTTGTATTTTGTTTTTGAGAGAGGGTCTCCCTTTGCCTGGGCTAGCAGAATGTGTCATGACGCCTTGCTCTAAAATATATGTAAACTGAGGTTTAGTTTTCTCTCTCTCTCTCTCTGTCTTGCACAGTTTGGGTTTGAATTCAGGCCTCTCATCCAACCACCCTTTTTTTTGATGGGGGAGGGGTTTGAACTCAGGGCATCATGCTTCAGGCACTCTACCGCTTGAGCCACACCTCCACTCCATTTTGCGCTGGTTACTTTGGAGATGGGATCTGGAGAACTATTTGTGATCCTCCCAATCTCAGCCGCCTTAGTTGTTAGGATTACTGGTGTGAGACACCGGTGCCTGGCTGGCACTGGGGTTTGAACTCTGGGCCTCAAGCTTGCTAGGCAGGTGCTCTACCACTTGAGCCAGGACCCTAGCCCTACAGGGGCCCATCTAAAGCATGAATATGACCAGGGTCTTCTCCTGTTCAAGACCACTTTGGTGCTCTCAGGGTAATGTTACATCCTGTATGATCTTGCCCGTCACCCCTGTCATCCCATCTCTCACCACTAACCCCTCACACTACATGCCACCTAAAGTGAGGTTTGAGAAACTACGCACCACATCAGGTCATACTCTCTGCCCTTAGCTCTTTGCACGTTTCTTATACTGGCGTTCCCTTCCCCATTCCTTTCTTGACCTGTACCAGTTGGCACACAACTGTAATCCCAGCAATCAGAGGTCAAGGTAGAGGGGAGCCTGGTTTAATAGTGAGACTCTTATCTCAAAAAATAATTTGATCTGCTGAGTGTCTGTGGCTCACGTCTATAATCCTAGCTACTCAGGAGGCAGATATCAGAGGATGGAAGTTTGAAGCCAGCCCAAGGCAAATAACTCAAGAGACCCTATCTTGAAAACATCCTTCACAAAAAAGGGCTGGTGGAGTGGCTCAAGGTGTAGGCTCTGAGTTCAAGTCCCAGTACCAAAAAAAGAAAGAATCGTTCATTTGCAATACTGCAATGCCATGGACAAATTTTACTTGGAGCAGCCTTCCAGGATCGGGAAGCCAACCAACAGGGAAAATGTGATATGTAACTAACAATGCATAAGGGGAAATGCCTGCTGGCCTGCTAGGGAAAGAGGGCCAGAGAGCCTCAGTCATCCAGGTCCTCATCCTCCTCTTCTTCCTCATCCTCCTCCTCTTCCTCCGCAGCTGCCAGGGCCTGCTCCTGGGCAGCCTTCAGGGCCTGCTCCTCCTCCACTGTGGGATCACTGGATTCCATGATTTCAGGCCCACTGGGGTACTCGTGCTGAACGGGGGCTGGCAGAGCCGGGTTGAAGTTCTCAGGGCTGTACTTGTGGCCCCAGCCAATGTAGAGGTTCTCAAACTTCCTGCAGGGGCAGAGAGACACCAGGATACTCTCTTTAAGGGTGAGACTGCCAGGTGCCATGGCTCATGCCTATAATCCTAGCTACTTGGGAGGTAGACATCAGGAGGGTCACAGTTCAGGCAAATAATTCAAGAGACCCTGTCTCCAAAAAAACCCATCACAAAAAAGGATTTGGCAGAGTGGCCCAAATCCTTTAGGTAGAGCACCTGCCTACCAAGCTTGAGGCCTTGAGTTCAAACCCCAGTGCCACCAAAAAAAGAGAAAAAGATACATCTATTTTGTGCACCTGAGTATCTGGGATTACAGGCAAGAGCCACTGGCACCCAGGTAATTGATTTTTTTTTTTTTGGCAGTTATGAAGTTTGAACTCAGGGCCTCACAATTGCTAGGTAGGTAGGCGTTCTACCAGTTCAGCTACTCCACCAGCCCTTTTTCAAAGTTGTTTTTGATACAGGCTATGTAGCCAGACTCACTATGTAGTCCAGGCTGGCCTCTCTCTCTCCTTCCTTCCTTCATTCCTTCCTTCCATGGTTCTGGGGATCAAACCCAGGGCTTCATGCCTGGTGAGCAACACTCAACCACTGAGCTACATCCCCAGTCCTGGCCTCTAACTCTTGATCCTCATGCCTCAGCCTACCGTGCTGGGATTATGGGCGCAAACCACTATACCCTGTTAAGGTCAAGTATTTCTGATGAAATTTTAGCATCAGAATTGATGCTAAATTGAGATGTGCTGCACATGGAAAATACACCCCAGATTCCAAAGACTTGCTATGGAATAAAGAACGGAAAATAGCTTGTTAACAAGTTTTACATTATTGACTTTGTGCTGTAATTCTAACATTTTAGATATTTGGGATAAAGATTAAAGTTAATTTTGCCTGCCTATTTTTACTTATTGAATGGGCTTGCTAGACTATTTTAAACGACATGTGTGGCTCATATGTTATTTATATTGGACATGGAAAGGGTTTGGGGTTGAAGGCGTGGCTCAAGTGGTAGAGTGCTTGCTTACCAAGTGCACAGCCCTGAGTTTAAATGCCAGTACCACCAAATGAAATGAAATGAAATGAAATAGTGTACATGTTAGTGAGTTCCAGGCCAGCCTGGGTAATTTAGCAAGACCCTGTCTAGAAAAAATGAAAGAACAAGAAAAAGAAAAGCGCTGAGTGTGGCTCAGTGGTAGAGTGATTGCCTAGCATGTGCAAGGTCCTGGGTTCTATCCCCAGTAAAAAGAAGAAGAAGAAGAAGAAGAAAGGAAGAAGGAGGAGGAGGAGGAGGAGGAGGAGGAGGAGGAGAAGATTTTATAAAGGGGCCAAAAAAAGAATGACAGGCTGGGTGAATAGAAGGCTGGGGGTGGGCGGGGCAGATAGTTGGGCAGAAGGATGGATAGGCTGGTGGAGTTCCAAGTTTGGATCTTTGGCCTTCAGGAGGGTATTGGTAAGTTGGGGTTGACAAAAGCAAGTGTGCCTCTCCCCAGCTTCTAGAGAAGAAAATAATAATTGTGGGGAATGTGATTAAAGCACTAGGATTCCAAGATATTCCAGGAGAACTGTGAACCCAGCACCCAAAGCCACAAGCTTGGCATGGAGAGGAAAAGGGAAAGCTGTGCACCACCTGCTGGACAGAAATGGTAGCGTACCCCCACGTACTACACAGGGCACTGAGGGGCTGAGCCCAAGGACAGCTGGGGCAGGGGATGCATAGGTGACTTCAGCTTATCAATTTTTTGTTTTTGTTGATGTGTTTTTTGGAGGGTGGTACTGGGGTTTGAACTCAGGGCTTCCCACTTGCAAGGCAGGGTCTTTACTGCTTGAGCCACACCTCCAGCCCTTGTCAATCTTTTGGGAACAACTAGTAGGGTATTCTGGTGGGGAAGATTTCTGCCCTATGGGGAGAAAACCCTTCCAATGGGAAGAACTGTCCAGGGGCCTAGGGGAGGAGGGGAGGACCCCAGAGATGAGACTCCCACCTCTGTGATCAGCAGGAGGGAGACCCAGGTTTGCATGTCACAAGTGCTGTGTGACCCTGGTCCAATCCCTTCCCCTCTTGATCCTCCATTCTTTCATCCAAGGGGCTCAGCCCCTCGATCTGGCAAGGGTCTCTAGCTGTAGCCTAGGCTGGCTTTGAACTCTCAATCCTCCTGACTCCAGGTCCAGAATGCTGGAATTACAGAGGTGTATCACTGCACCCTGAGCCCTGCTCTGGACTGAGATTTCTTATTTTATTTTAGCCCCAGTGGAACCCCTGGGTGCTGAATAAGAGGGTCAGTCCTGGGAGGTCTCCTGATGGGCTCCTCCCAATCTGTACTCTACTCCCCCCCACCCAGTGGGGCTCTTAAGACATCTGTCCTAAAGGGGTTTCCTGCGCAGAGGGACAGGGACAAGACCTACTTGCCAGTGGCAAAAGCATAGGCTCCTGGCCAGAGGTTGGAGCGCAGCACAGCCACGGAGTACTGCGGGCACAGGCTGCAGGACAGGCGGGTGGTCCAGGGTGACATGTGCATGATTTCTGCAATGGGAAGGCGGAGGGGGCAGTGAGGTCAGAGGTCCTCTGGAGGGAACCAAGCCAAAGGACCAGTGGGCATGAAGGGAACTGTGACAACTGATAGCATGTGCTTCAGTGTTTGAAATCTAGCTCCAGGCCTGTCTCCCCCGGTGTGGCCTCAGGATGCCACTTCACCTGTCTGAGCCTCCAGCCTGCAACAGTGGCGGTGGTGAGGCATGGCCAGGTGACTGTCAGGATTCCCCTCCCGAGTCGGCCACTGGTTTGGCCCAGGATGCTGAGGGCAGGGCTCAGGCCCTGGGCTCCGAGAATCTGGGTTCACATAGGGGGTTCATCCACTCCCTTGCTCCTCCCACCTCTTCCCCTTCCTTCCAGGTGCCTCGACCTTGGGGAATTCTGATCCATTTACCCAGATTCCAGCTCAAGTCCTGCCTGCCCTGGAGGGGCTCCCCAAGCCCACATGGGACTCCAAGGACCGAGTCCCCAAGATCAGAGTCACTGCCAGGTACTGGATTCCTTTCCAAATGTGGATGAGATCCCAGAGCCCTCCAGAGGGAGCCAGTATCATGACTTTATAGATGACAGAGTCACTGAGGCTTGGAGAATGGAATGCAGAAATGGCCCCTGGGGTCTGCCTCTGGTCCCTTTCCGCTCACCCCTTCCCAGGCTAGCGATGCACACATGCAGAGGACCCCTACCTGCGTCTTCCGAGAGTGGTGTCAGTAGGGGGGGCCCAACCTCTTGCTCCACCTCCTCCAGCCCCTCATCTCCCTTCTCTTCCTCCTCCCCCAGCTCCTCCTCCTCCTCCGACTTCTGCAAAGGGTTCACCCACGTGCAGCGGCCCTAGAGGTGAGACAGTGCCAGGTAACATCCTGGGTACAGAGCCACGCCTGCATGGAAGGAGGTAAAGGGCCAGGCAGGATGCTGGAGCATGCTGAGGCCCTCTCCTTAGGTAGGGTACACAAGTCAGTGGGTGGAGGGGAATGAGCCCAGAGCCTGTGGGGGGGAGTGCCTGGCTCTCACCGACTGTGGCCCTATCCATCTCATACGTCATATGAACACCTCCTAGGTGCAGGTCCTGCCCTGGGTTCTGGGGACACATCTTTGGGAAGAGAGACTTTGACAGTTTAGGCCTAGACTGGAGGCACGGCTCAAGTAGTAGAGCGCCTGCTTGGCAAGCAGCTATGAAACGTGAATCAGTGGGGCGCCAGTGTGTTGCAACTGTAATCCCAGCTACTCAGAAGGCAGAGATTAGGAGGATCATGGTTCAAAGTCAGGGCAAATAGTTCGGGAGACCCTATCTCAAAAATACCTAACAGAAAAAAGGGGCTGGTGTAGTGGCTAAAGGTCCTGAGTTCAAGGCCTGGTACTGAAGAGGGGGGAACCCTTCACAAAAAGAGCTGCAGGTTTAGTGGCTTAAGGTGTAAACCGTAAGTTCAAGTTCCAGTACAAAAACAAAACAAAACAAAACAAAAAACCCACAAAAAAAGGGCTGGCGGAGTGATTCAAGTGATAGAGCCCCTGCCTACAAGTGTGAAGGGGTGGGGGCTGAGTGGATGGATGGATGGATGGATGAGTGGGTTGGTGGATGGGTGGATGGATGGATGGATGAGTGGCTTGGTGGATGAGTGAATGGATAGATGGATGGATGGGTGGATGGGTGGATAGATGGATGGATAGATGGGTGGGTGGATGGATGAGTGGATGGGTGGATGGATGGATGAGTGGATGGGTGGGTGGATGGATGGATGGATGAATGAGTGGATGGATGGGTGGATGGATGGATGGGTGGATGGATGGATGGATGATGAATGGATGAGTGAGTGGGTGGATAGATGGGGGAATGGATGGATGGATGGATAAATGGATGGGTGGATGAGTGAATGGATGGATGGGTGGGTGAGTGAATGGATGGATGGATGGATGAATGAGTGGGTGGATGGATGAGTGGATGGGTGGATGGATGAGTGGGTGGATGGGTGGATGGATGGATGGATGGATGAATGAGTTGGTGGACGGATGAGTGGATGAATGGGTGGATGAATGGACCAGCGGATTGGTGGACGGATGGATAGATACATATAAAAGAGCACACCACCTAGCAAAGTGTACCAGCCTGATCTTCTCTCGGGGGTCACCCTGAGCGAGCCCCTGGTCCTCCTCACCTGCGGCAGGATATGCTGCGTGTGGTGCACCCAGTTGGCCATGGAGTCGACCAGCTCGAGCACGGGGATGCCCTCAAAGTCGGGGTTCTCCTCGAAGGAGTCGCGCCCGGCGCCGCCCTCCTCCTCCTCGTCGCCCTCCTCCTCTCCGAACTGGTAGAACCCGAGCGGGCTGATGTGCGTGGCGGCCGAGATGCGCGCGATCTGCGCGCGCAGGTAGTTGCCCTCGTTGCCGGGGAAGGGCGGGTAGCTGACGACCGGCGAGTCCAGGAAGCCGGTGAAGAACTTCTTGATCTTGCGCGCCTGCACGATCTGCGCGGGCGTCACGTGCGGCAGGCGCGTCCACGGGCGGCCTGGCTCGTTGCACACGAAGTACAGGTACTTGTTGGTGCCCGTGCGGCTCTCCTCCTTGGGGATGACGGGTGGCGGCTTCCACTGCGGCTTGGGCACCGTGTCCACCTCCTTCTCCTCGTCCTCCTCGCCCTCCTCCTCGCCATGAGTCTCCAGGACCTCGCCACCCTCCAGCAGCTCCTCCACCTCCTCCTCCTCCCCCTCCTCCTCGCCCTCCCGGAACTCCACCTCGGCCACCAGGTAGCTGCGGCTCAGTCCCAAGATTTTGCCCCAGAAGCGGCACGAGTGGATGGGCTGCTGCTCCACCAGCTGCTTCAGGGCCAGGAAGATGCGAAAACTCTCGTCCGTGCTCAGCCCCACGCCTGCCTGCTCGAAGTAGAAGGCCGTCTCCATGATGTTGGGCACCGGGCTGTCAGTCTGCGGAAGGAAAGAACGCTGCATGATGCCTTCTAGACTCAAGAGACCTCAGCTGCTCATGAGAGAGAGAGAGAGAGAGAGAGAGAGAGAGAGAGAGAGAGAGAAGAGAGAGAAGAGAAGAGAGAGATTCCTGCTGGAAATGAGGATTTGAAGCCTGTACCTACAGCAGCTGTCTTGGAACCATGAGGCACATGAGGCAACGATGCATGGAAGACAAAAGCCTACACCCTAAAGGTGATGGGGCATAAAGGTAGAAACTGTTTAGTACCCCCATGTGGCATTGCTGAGTTGCCTTACCTACTCTGGCCTTGTTCTGTGGAACAAAGAAGACATTTTTAGTCATCGGTGTCTGTTACTTGTAGCCAAATGCACTCCTAACATTCTCCAAGTCACACAGAAAATTAAGGGAAGACACAAGTCTTGAACAGAAGAATCAGTGATATTGAAGGGTGGTGTGAGAACAAATTGAGGCCTAAGACTGGAATCCAGTGAGGTTTGGGCCCCAGACATGAAATGTGAATATCTGAGGGGATGGGACAGGGCCTGTGCAGGTCACCAGGCAATGTACTTGTCTATGGGAAATCATGTCGCCTGTACATCCATATGGCCACAAAAGCTGTCCCCAACACTTTTCAGTCATCCCAGAACCTATATTAAACCTAGTGGAAGCTGGGCATGGTGGAGTACGTGTAAGTTCAGCTACTCGGGAGGCTGAAGCAGGAGAATCGTGACTTGAAGGCCAGCCTGGCTACATCATTTGAGACCTTCCCCTAAAAAGACACAATGGGTGCCAGCCCCAGGCTAAGCACTGACGTAGGACAAAGTAGACAAGGTCCTTCTCAGGAGATAAGTATGAGCTGTCCTTGGCAACCTGGCCAGGCTAGGGACACCATGACCTAAACCAGGAGAACTGTACTCACTCCCCCCCCAACCCCCGCAGGCCTTGCACATTGGGCGGGGGTGTGGGGGGGGAAGGTCTTTTATTTAAGGGATGTGGGCATGAATGTTTGGAAAATACAGTGATCCTCAGGAAGGCCAGCCTGGGCTAAAAGAAAAACCAGACAGCTTCAAGGTGAACACAGTAGGTTTTTTTTTTTAGGTCCTTTATCTGATCATTTGAGTCACTGGCAATTTTTCTTTTCTTTCTTTTTTTTTTGTGGGATTGGAATTTTAACTCAGGGCTTGATACTTGCAAAGCAGGCACTCTACTGCTGAGCCATACCTCCAATCCGGCAATTTTTGTTTTTTTGGGGGGCAGGGGGGTTTGAACTCAGGGCTTCATGCCTGTTAGGCAGATGCTCTACCACTTGAACTACTCTGTCAGCCCTGTTTTGTGTTGGGCATTTATTTATTATTTATTTATTGTAGTACTGGGGTTTGAATTCAGGGCCTGCACCTTGATCCACTCCACCAGCCCTTTTTCGTGATGGGTTTTTTTTGAGATAGGGTCTCACGGAACTATTTGCCTGGGCTAGCTTCGATCCTAGAAAATAGGGCTGGTGGAGTGGCTCAAAGTGAAGACTCTGAGTTCAAGCCCCAATACAGCCAAAAAAAAAAAAAAAACTCCAAAATTCCAAGGTCAAGGTGTTTACACGGTTAGTTCTTTCTGAGGGCTGTGAGAGACTCCGTCCCTGACCTCCCAGCTTCTAGTGGGTGGCTGGCCATCTCTGATGTTCCTTGGCTTGTCCAAGGATCACTCTTACTTCCACCTGCATCTCACATGGCATCATCCTGTGTGCATGTCTGGACCCATCTTTCCCTTCCTCTTTTAAAAAATTTATTTCTTTTTTTTTTTTCCAGTATTGGGGTTTGAGCTCAGAACCTCGTGTTTGCTAGGCAGGTGCCCTACTAGACTTGAGCCACACTCCCAGCTCTTTTTGCTTTAGTTTTATTTTTCAGATAGGGTCTGTGATGTTGCCCAGGGTCGGCCTCAGACCTTGATCCTCCTGCCCTCTCCTCTTGCCTAGCTAGGATGACAGGTGTGCACCACTGTACCTGGTCTTACCTTTTTTCTTTTTTTGTGTGTGTGTGTGGTTCTGGGGTTTGAACTCAGGGCCTACACCTTGAACCACACCGCCAGCACTTTATTGCGGTGGGCTCTTTAGAAGTGGGGTCTCGTGAATTATTTGCCCAGGCTGGATTCGAACCACGATCCTCCTGATCTCTCTTGGGTAACTAGGATTACAGGTATGAGCCACTGGCGCCCGGTTTATTTACTTATTTTTTGAGACAGTCTTGCTAGGTAGCCCAAGTTAACCTAAAAATAGTTATGTCGCATAGGCTGAGCAGGAACTCTCAATCCTCCTGCCTCAGCCTCCCAAGTGTCAGGATTACAGGTGTGTGCCTCCTTAAGCGTTTTGAGCATGATGCAAAAGCCTGTTTGTCTAACTGGTATTGACATCAGCGACTCAGCAGCAGAGTCAAAAGTCTAAGACTTGCCCTCCTGCAGCCGGGAGGGAAAACGAGGGACTGAAGATGGGAGCCTTGAGGGCGTGTGTCTGGCCCATGGCCATCACCTTCTTTCTGGAAATTTCCCATCCACATGGCAATGGCATATCATCATGCCACGTTTGAAGGATGGCAATGTCACCCTGTCCTTCTGGCCACCACTGATTAGAGCAAGAGTAGACAGCTATGCAAAATGACAGACTAGACTTCTTTTTTTTGGTGGGACTGGGGTTTGAACTCAGGGCTTTGTACTTGGAAAGCAGGGGCTCTATTGTTTGAGCCACACCTCCAGTTCTTTTTGCTCTGGTTATTTTGGAGATGAGTCTCTGAAACTACTTGCCCAGCTGACTTTGAACCTCAATCCTCCTGGCTTCAGCCTCCCAGGGAGCTAGGATTAGAGGTGTGAACCACTGGTGCAGTGATCAGACTCTACTTTCTATGGCCAGATGGTATGAAAGCACAGCTGGCCTCCCCCTGCCCAGAAATTGCCTGGTATGGCTGAATTTGACCCCAGAGGCCACATTCACAGCTCCTCCTCTGCAACACCTCTTGACTTCTGTGACCAGAGTCATTCTTCCTCTTTCTCCCGCTGGGTTTCTGCAGAAGGAAACCCCTACCTGTGATCAAGGAGAAAGGAGTTCCTAGTGGCAAGTGGATGAACTTTCTAAGAAGTTAATTCAGGAGGTTCCACACAGGAGGCAGCAGAGGAGAGGCTCAGATGGGCACTGGGCCTCCTGATTTGAAGCTGTGCTGGAGGCCAGTCACATCCCCACCCTTGGACTAGCTGGGGTCCTGCTGAGTCAGCTCAACCCCCAGCCCTCTACTCCATCTTCTGCCTTGTCACTTTTCTGGTCTCCTTTGCAGCTAGTGGTGACCACGTGGCCCAATTAGACAATGAAATGCAAGTGGAGTTTTATGAAGGACTTCTAGAAACTTTTGCTCTCCTGATTTTTAATTTTTATTATTTGCAGGGCTGGGGATGGAACCCAGCACCTTGTGCATGCCAGGTTAAGTGCTCTACCACTGAGTTCCACCCCCACTCCTCCCCTTACTTTTTCAAAAGTTGGAGACTGGCTGGGCACAGTGGTTCGCTCCTATAAACCCAGTGACTCAAGAGATGGGGAGGATTGCTATTTGAGGGCAGACTGGGCAAAAAGTTACCAAGATCCCCAACTCAACAAAAAAGTCGGGCATGGTGGTAAACACCTGTGATCCCAGCTATGCAGGAAGATGGTAATCTGAGGCCAGGGCAAGGAAAAACTGGAGACCTTATCTGAAAAAAACAGCTAAAGCAAAAAAGGGTTAGGGGCATGGCTCAAATGGCAGAGTGCCTGTCTAACACTCACTAGGCCTTGAACTCAAACCCCAGTACATCCAAAACAAAAAAAAAAGAGGGGAGACATGATGTAAATATCTCTCCTGTTTTGAAGCACTGGTGTGGGGATATGATGTCTGGCACAGCTGCAGCCATTTTTCTGACATGAAGTGTCAAGAGTTCTTGGCCTGATGAAGGCAGAAGAGGCATAAGGAAAAAGCAGAATTTTTTTTTTCCCCTGGGGTTTGAACTATACCTTGAGCCACTCCACCAGCCCTTTTTTGTGATGGGTTTTTTCGAGATGGGGTCTCATGAACTATTTGCCTGGGCTGGCTTTGAATCGCGATCTTCCTGATCTCTGCCTCCTGAGTAGTTGGGATTACAGGCGTGTGCCACCCGCGTCCGGGTAAATCATGGATTTATCTCTTCTACAATCTTGCCCTCTACAGACGCCAAACCAAGAACTCCATCTTCGAGTTCCAGGAGGGCGGGTCTCCCCTGGCTACGTTCTTAAGGGGCGGAGCCTCCCAGGCATTAAATATCAATGGGGGCCTCGAGGGGAATGACGTTATGAGGGGGCGGAGCTTCCCCTGACTGACGCGTAAGGGGGCGGAGCCTCTCCCCCAGTGGCAGCCTAAGGAGGCGGAGCCTCCGGCTCTGTGGAGCTCTAAGGGGCGGGGCCCTAAGGGTCAAGCGTTCTAAAGTGGAGCCGTCAGGGAATTGGCTTTAAAGCCAGGGCTGGTGGAGTGGCCCACGTGGAGCGCCGGCCTAGCGAGCGAGCGAGGCTCTTCAGGAGGCGGAGGACAGGAGACTGCGGTTTGAAGGCCGGCCCGGGCTAATAGTCCGTGAGACCCTAGCTCGAAAAGACCCTTGACAAAAATGTGCTGCTTATATTGGCAGAGTGGCTCAAGCGGTAAGGGCACCTGTTTAACAAGTGTGAGGCCCTGAGTCCAAACCCCAGTGCCACGAAAAAAACAAAAGTTAAAAAATAAGTAAATAAAGGGGTTGGTGAAATGGCTCAAGCTGTAGGCCCTAAATTCAAACCCAAGTACTGCAGAAATAAATTAATAAAATATGAACAAAAAATATAAAAGCTCTTGGCAGGGGAGCTTGGAGGTATCAGATTATTATAATCAGAGTCCTCAAAAAAAAAAAAATCAAAGAACATTTCACTCAAATTGTAAGCATCATCCAGTTCTGAAACGTGGACGTAAGCACTGTGAGGATGGCAGAATGTCCGTGTGTGGGTGGGGGATAAGAGTTCTTAGCAGACTTCAATTTGTAAACAGGGAAACTGAGGCCGGGGGAGAAGGAGCGGTTGATTGAGAGTTGACTGAGGGACAGGAGAACACCTGCAGGGCAGCGATTTTCTGCAGGGAAGGGTGTGCGGTAAGGGACTATGGAAGGGACCAGCCTCCATCTCCAGGTGGCCGTCTTTCCTCTGCCCCCTGCGACCCAGTGCGGCTGGAGAAAGACCAAGCTTTGGTGTTCGGGGCCCCCTCTGTGGAGGTGGTTTCTGTTCCTGGCCTCAGCACCGGCCACGGGGTAAGCCCGGGACCCCACCGATCCCGGGGTGCGCCTCTCCCCAAGTTCCCACTCACCACCTCCTCCTCCATCTCCTGTTCGCCCTCTCCGCTGCCGCCACCACGGAGGAACAGCACCTTCTGCTTCTCCGCCATCTCGTATGTGGCCTGCATCTCAGGGTCGTCCCGCAGCGTGTCCAGCTTGGGGTGGAACCACTCCCACTGCGTGGTGCGGTTCAGAAACTCCAGGATGGCCAGAGGGTCGTCAGGCCGTTGGTTCAGGATCTTGGTCAGTAGGTTCACCAGGTGCTCATACCTGCCTCCCACAGAGGAGCAAGGAGGTGGGGGACATCACTTATTCAGTTCAATGAGCCTGTTGCTGTGTGCCTGGCCCTGTGCCTGGTGCTGGGGACACAGGAGGGAACAGACAATATCCCTGTCCAATCCAATAGGCAGAGTATATATATTATGTCAGGTATGGGGTGGCAATTTTTGTTTTTTTTCTGAGACAGGGTCTTGCTATGTAGTCCAGGCTGGCCTCAAACAAGAACCCCTGCTTTAACCACTTGTACTTAGCTATTCTTGAGGTCACGGCCAATGCAATAAGACATGAGGAAGAAAAAGATTAGAAAGAAGCAAAACTGTTGTGGTTTGCATGGGAATGGGGGTGTGCCTAGCAAGTTGGAGGAGTACAGAGAAGGCTCCGTGTGACTGGAGTGGACCGAGAGAGAGGAGTTTGAGAAGCAGAGGCCAGGGTGATAACAGGCATCATAATGGCTTCCATCCACCTAAGTCAGACACCAAGCTGGGCGCTTGAGAGAAATGTTGAATCTTCACATTACCTTCCTTTCTCTACACGTGAGGAATCAACAGGCCACACTATAGTGGCACAGTCAGCATTTGACACCAGGTGGGTCTGATTTCCAAGTATGTGTAAACTTCTGCTGTGTAGAAACTGCTTTTGATGGGACTGGGTTTTGAATTCAGGGCTTCACACTTGCAAAGCAGGTGCTCTACCGCTTGAGCCACTCCTCCAGTCCATTTTGCTCTGGCTATTTTGGAGATTTGGGGAGGGGGGAATCTGAGGAACTATTTGCCTAGGTTGGCCTCAAACCGTGATCCTCCCAAGCTCAGCCTCCCAAGTAGCTAGGATTGCAGGTGTGAGCCTTCAGCACCTGGCTTGTGAGCAGTCTTGAGTGTGGTGGAGGACCCTCACTGAATTGGGAAGAAAAAGTGAGAGTGGGCTGGAAGTGTGGCTCAAGCAGTAGAGTGCCTAACTAGCAAGTGTGAAGCCCTGAGTTCAAGCCCCAGTACTGCCAAAAAAAGCAAACTTCAAAACTAAAAATTTGCTGGTGGAGCAGTTCATGCAGTAGAACACCTGCCTAGGAAGCATGAGCTCAAGTCCCAGTGTCGTCAAAAAGAAAAGGTGACTAGTCAGGGCTTTTTAGGAAGACACCTTGAAGCTCCAAAGACCCAAGATTTGTTGGTGGAACACCAACAGGTTAACTTTGCCTGGGTTGTAGGTTCTGAGGTAGGAGCAGATAGTAATTAGAAATAAACTTTTGGAGCGTGCAAGGGGCCTTCAAGGCCCAGGTGAGCAGTATCTCTTCCCGAGCTTCCTCCTGAGGGGAGTAGGGAGCCATAGCAGGTTCTGAGTGTGGGAGGGGTAGAGTCTGCAGACCACATTTCCTCATACCTTCTGAACACAGCAAGCCTCCGAGTTATTTGCTGTGCCTTGTCCCTGGACTTTTCTGCCAGTTATCTGGAAAGTGCCCTCCCCCACCTCCTTCAGGTCCCTGATCAACACACATCTAACTTTTTAGGCCTTACTATCACCTGGCCATTTCCCCCGCCCCGTGAGCTCCAAGAACAGGGGATTTTGGTCTTCCCTGTGCCCCGTGCCCAAGTAGATCAGTGAGTGAATGAGTGAGTGAAACAGGCAAGTAAAGACAAGAATTACCCTCCTCTCACAATGGACGGAGGAAGAAGGAATGGAGTTTTTTTTTTTTTTTTTTTTTTTGCAGAGGTTG